CTACCACGCCTATTTCTGCCGTGAAGCAGTAAAGCGTTTCGGTTTGATGGATGGGGCAGCCGTTGTAACTATACTGAGACCTTAGAACTTATATCTCAAGGTGGGTGGCGCATTTACGTTGTAGATGTCTACGGGCTCCGGTAACCACTTAACACCAGGTGGGCCGTGAGCTCGACCACCCATCTAAGCAAAAAAAAAGAAAATTCCTCGTTGGATATTCTTAGCGAATCACAGTTCCGATCCGGTGGTAGATGTAGCGAAGCATCTGCCCTTGAGCTGTTAAGACTTCTTCGGAGATGCTCCGACAGCTGTTCGCTAATCTTTCCCTCCCGGCTGAGTCCTTGAGCTCGCCCATTCGTTCTCATTATGCACAAAGGCCTTCGGGCCAAGTTTGCCTTTCATTAAATCCTTCAATCTCAAAGAAAAGTGAAAGCAAGCACGATATTAAAGAACGAGCTTGGCTGGTTTCCTTTACACAATAGTTTCAATATTTCGTTTTTCGAGATAATCGCTATCGTAATACAATTGTTCCAATCAATAGACGGTGATGTTATATCAAGTATGTACACCAAGTATACTCCATACCAAAGATTTGGACCAAGACAAAAAATTCTTGTGGTAGGACCTCTTGTGTGTGAGTCCGCACGGGTAGGTACCGCCACCCTACCTATACCCGTGAAGCAGTAATGCGGTTCGGCTTGAAGGGTGGGGCAGCCGTTGTAACTATACTGAAACCTTAGATTTTGTGTGGGTGGCGCATTTACATTGTAGATGTCTATGGACTCCAGTAACCACTTAACACCAGGTGGACTGTGAGCTCGTCCACACATCTAAGCAATAATATAAAAAAAGATACCATGCTGTATCAATTCAAATGTAAATAAATAGAAAAATATCTGAATACAACGCATTACTTATAAGCTACATATAAACATTTACACGTGACGATAAATGTGTGATTAATATTATTGTACAAACCTATGTACATTCGTTTTATTACTACGTTCATATATCAACAAACATGAACAATTATGGTAGATTAAAAAGGATTTAATTAATACATATACCTACAAGGACGGTGGTATTTACAGCATCTAAACTGCGAATAAATAGACTTATTATTTATTCGTAGCATCTAAAGTCGATCGTCGAATATGGAACAACTTTAGGCCGATTTTAAGAAGGCGGATGTTTTGCGGTTAATCGTTTTTGGAGCGAAGTGCCTTATGGGACGATGCGGAGGGGTTCCCTAACCGGGAAAAAACGTCCGTAACGTAAGATTTTTATTAGTAATGCACATAGTGTACGACTTAACTTTTTAATAACGTACAAAAAATAACATATTTTTTATGTCATTCATTGACCACGATCTCAGAGCGTTCGTTTGCGCAATACACTAACTCCTATGCAAACAACCGTGAATGAAGTGTACCACAATAAGTTCGCACGTTACCGAATGACCGTGGGTTGTTGCGAAACCTCCAGTTTTATTTTCTTTATACCTCGAATAGAATTTAAAATTTATATTTTTATAATAATATGGAACTTCGTTCCTATCCGGTGTCCCATGACACCACATATCTTTTTTGTTTGTTTTATTTTCAAGTGAATCAATACCGGATTTTTATTCCATAGACGTCCACTACTGGACATAGACCTTCCTCAAGCCTCGCCACAACGACTGCCACTGCGCTGCCTGCATCCAGTGGATTTCCGCGAATCTCAACAGGTCGTTGGTCCATTTTGTGGGAGACCTACCCACGTTACTTCTTCCGGTACGCGGTCGCCACTTGATAACTTTTTAGCCACAGCGGCTACTTCAACGTCGCGATCTTTTTTTTATTTCGAGTTAGGCATTGAGATTTGACACCAAAGCGCCAAGTCATACTATAATTTGATCGACGTCAATTAATTCAATCGTTCTCACGTCTAGTTACATTTACTGGAAAAAAAAATACTAGCATCGGAACAACACCGCTTAAGTCATTTCATTGGAAATTAATTTGTAATTTAGCATTATTGTTCATTCGTGATTTGACTTACTCACGACTCACTTCACGACAACTTTGATGTTTTACAGTTTTCGTCATCACGGGCGACAGTAATTAAACTGTGAAATTGTTTTAAACATTTTTAAAAGGATACCGTTAGGGAACCTAAAAACACCATTTTTAAATAAAAGCATAGAATTTAGTGTCTAGACTATGACGATGCATATTTTCGAAAATCAGTAACACAACATTCAAAATCCCATATCTTATTAGATTGTGTGATAGAGTGCTCTGAGGAATTGTTCGAGATGATACCATCATCAGCCTGTATCTATCCACTGCTGGATGTAGGCCTCTCCCATAGTCCGCCACAATGAACGATCCTCCGCCCTCCGCATCCAATCTCTCCCAGCATATCGCCGCAAGTCATCGGTCCAACGGGCAGGGGGACGCCCAACGCTGCGCTTACCGGTACGCGGTCACCAGTCCAGAACAACAACGAGATGATACCAGCATCTCGTTTTTACCATCGCACCGCCCGCCACCGAAGTAGAGTTCATCCATACTACCTGGAGCCACTGCGATCATCCACAGTGCGTTTCCAGAGATCTTTTTTGACACGTACCATCCGGCTATGGAATGAGCTCCCCTCCACGGTGTTTCCCGAGCGCTATGACATGTCCTTCTTCAAACGAGGCTTGTGGAGAGTATTAAGCGGTAGGCAGCGGCTTGGCTCTGCTCCTGGCATTGCTGAAGTCCATGGGCGACGGTAACCACTCACCATCAGGTGGGCCGTATGCCCGTCTGCCTACAAAGGCAATAAAAAAAAGAATCCTTATAAAATATTGTTCCGTCAATTTATTTAATTAGAATAGTCCGAAAAGTTGTAGAAAACTTATATTATCCGAATAAATTTTCAAGCAAGTGTTGAAAAAAACAATATATTTCCAAAATAATTTACTCTTAGTAAGTCCACTTGTGACCAAGAAAGGTCTAACGAAAATATAAAAAAAAAAGTTGAATAATAATGAAATCCTCGGTACGATTAAATTGAATTTTAATTGAAACTGCTTATTAAAAAGTAAAAACTGTAAAGAAATAAAGTCCACTTAAATCTAGCTAGCTAAAACCTGTCGCATCTAGAGACAGGCAGATATAAAAAAAAATCATTACTATTTCGTATTCTATTTGTGTCCTAATCTTTGTTTTTACTTTGAATAGCGTTCGCTGGCCTAGTCCTCATTCACACGAGACTTTTGTTAAGTACCAGGTTAGTACCACTATCCGGCACACGTCGGCAGACATGCGTTGCGATTTAAAGGGTGGGAGAGTCCTTATAAGATAAATATCAACATCGACGCATTGTGTCAAGTTGTTTTTGTGTTCCAATGACCACTTGATACTGAAATGACCATGAGCAATCAAGCTATATAAATGAAATAAAACATTATCTTCCTAATTTTGTACCAACATAATAGATAAATTACAATCTTATTTATTCTCTTTTTCTTCTTCGTTAAGCTGTGTCCATCCAACGCAGAGTGTAGATATCTTAGTGTAGATTCATATGCACACCATTCTTTTCGGTCTCTTGCCTTATTAATCTTATTATTGATTACTTCAGCTTGCTTAAATCAGCAAAGTTGGTCAGTCTCGGTTTTGTGGGAGCTTTCGTGTGAGGGATATAAAAGTGCAGGTTCGCGAGGTGATTCAAACAAATTACGCTTGACAAAATTCACTATTTACATTCACGCTTAGGCCAGCCTTAGAAGCCAAAACATGAATAATTTATAACTGGTTTTACGATCAAAACAGTTATCATAAACTAGTTTTGAATTTAATACGTAGTTAGTAATAAAATGTCCAACTTAATTTAATGGCTTTAAATTTAATTTATATTATGCTTTCGTCATTTAGGATATCATTCGTTTGTTATAGAATATATGATCGAAGTGAAGAGCATTCTTTCTCTATATAACAGAGTATATAATAACTTTCTACAAATTTAACTTACTTATTGATTTAGTAGTAAGTGTAAATTTCGATTTACAATAATTTTTTCTCAATTATTATACCCGACTCTACCTAATATTGCTTTATGAAAACGCTTTTCGTTTAGAAGCTGCGGCGATTTCAGAAATGAATATGTATACGAATTATACATATCTGATTTTAGAACTGAGTAGCATCGTAAAACGCTGAAGACGAATAAATAAATAAATCAACTTAACTATATAGTAATTAAAATGAACGAATTATACCATTAATTAATAAAAGTAAGTTTGTGTTCTCGTTACAATTATTAATATTGGATTAGTTCTATTTTGGTGAGAAATAAAATATGCTTTCTATTTATTTTTATTCTCCAAAAACCTCAGTAAAATTATGACGTTCTTAGCAAACCAATCGTACGAAACTGTGTAATATTCTCATTACAACGAGGTTGCGCCCTCAATTTAAGTAATATTTTCTGATTCTCATCCGAATTTAACTAAAGCATGTCCTAAATGTTAATGGCAAGTTAATCTCATTACATCCATGTCCGAATTGAGTGTTAATGGGGAGACTAACAAGCATCAATACAAAGACTAAGCAATTATCATTATATGTTAAATTCGGATGTTTTATGAACCTTCTACTATTAGGGCAGCGTGATCATTTCCTTCCTATCTTTAGATCACCGTCTAGCAATATTTATATATTTTAAGGTTGAATCGGATGATATTACGTTATGTTTGAATTCCATATTCTATATAATACGCGTATGTAAACCTCAAATTTCATCTATAATTATTATAGGGTTACTTAATTTCATTTAATCACTAATGCGGATTAATCTACATTTATTTTATGACGTCTTACAATTTTTACGGTTTTTTTGTCACCTATGACTGTCGCGGATTAAAATCGAAAAATTATTTTTAATCACACTTCATTGTAATTATTAAAGTTTCGTTCTAAAAGGCACACGTACGAATTGGTTTCACAACGACGAAGCAAACTACTTACTTTCTTTTAATCACAAATTTCATAAACACTTTCTCATTATACAATTCAAAATGAACACGTCTATCTATGAACACACACTCGCGAAAAAAGCGCGAATTGTTTTGATTATAAAAAAAAAAAAACGAGCACAGATTACGAAATTCGTGACGCAATTTAAAAAAAGTAAAAGTGATTTGCGCGCCTTAGTTTGTGAATTCACGAGTCGGTACGTGCGACCGGACACCTGTCGCGCCGTGGACTGCGCGAGTCAAGGACCGCGGGCGCACCGTATAACACAACCTGTCCCGCCGGATATGCAGGGTTGTCAACGCTAAGTTCTTAATTAGGTTGTTAGCTACAGTTTTTTTTAAATAAATTGTTAGATATACATAATAGGAGAATACTACAGTGGGCATACTTGGGTCTACCCTTGACCATAGATGACTTCCATGAGCGGCGATATGCCTACAAGGGCAATAAAAAAAAAAAAATGTACCCAAATACTCGCCAACACGAATATTTATATCTCCATATAGTTGTTGTTGCCCTAGGGTACCCCGCTGGTACATAGGGCCCTCACAAGATGTCTCCACTTGACCCTGTCTTGCGCTTGCTCCTTGATAATTCTCAGTCGCCAAGTATGTACAGGGCAACCAGGTCTTCTCCTGCCAAGCGCTTGCCACTCAAACGCGATTATTGCTGCGTTGACGGAGTCAGCGGAGTCTCCATATAGTACAGGCTCCTTATTTATTTTCATCTCCTGTATCTGTAATTATGCACTTAAAATTTAAATTTGTCATGAAATGTCAAATTATTTGTGGTAACCCTAAACTATGAAAACTAGTAAGCGTGCTTAATAATATTCCAGATATACTATGCGGGTAATTTAAATGTTAATTAAAAATACTTCTATTTTATTAAAATTCTCAGAGAAAATACATAACTTAATAAAACAACATATTTTGTATAAGAGTTTAAATATAACACTAAATTCATACTCACATACAAGAATTATGAGCGAAATATTAAATGCGTTTTTTTTTTCTAAATATCTAAATTTAGGCTAAGTTGGTACTTTGCATATATTATGAGACTATTTTCGAAAGCTCCCAAGCACTTTCTGCTATAAATATCTAATCATATATCACCTAAAAAATTATGAACAATTAATAATATTTTCTACAAATAACTAGAGAACAGATGAAGTACTGCTTGAAAACATTACGAGTAAAACATATTTTTGAAACCGCATCAAAACTACTGTTTTTGCCGAGTTTCGAAATATATAATTTTTAAATCAAGTTTTATAAAAAAATCCTTCATGGATTATAATAGTGCATTGATGCATAACAACTTCAACATACCTACACTATTAATGTACTTGCTAAGATTCCGTTCGATGTAAATACGTACTCACTGAAGCTTGAAGGCGAATAGCGGGTCGTGGCCCGTGGGTAATTACGAACAATTTATTCAACTCGTGTGATGGTATGCAACTCTATGTAAGCATTTATAAAGAAAACGTCGCAGCGAAGAAACGGTCTTTTGCAGAAAGGATATTTCTGCGAGTTAGCAGTTCTTATGATAATGCCCGAATTTTATTGTCAATTTTTTTGTAATTGCTGTAAGCGCGATTTAAATTTTCCAAACTATATCATAACTAGCGACCCGCCCTCGCTTCGCTTCGGAAACTGTAATTATTATTAATTTCTCCACTATTTAATGGATGTTATTATATATATAAACCTTCCTCTTCAATCACTCTATCTAGTAAAAAAAACCGCGTCAAAATCCGTTGCGTAGTTTTAAAGATTTAAGCATACATAGGGATATAGGGACAGAGAAAGCGACTTTGTTTTATACTATGTAGTGAAGATGTCATAGCTGAATTAACAGCTTGTTGGCAGAGTGTTCAGTGACCCTGACTTCTGCACAAGGTTTTCCGAATTGGGTTCCCGGTCACGGTTAGTATCTCTTAAAAATTAAAGAGTTTTATTCAAGCAGGTCTTCTCGGATCGTCATAATTTTTCCACCGATTTGGACTCCAGTTTCACCACTGTGAATGACTGAGCAGAAAATCAGAGCTTGCTCTTTCCCAGCTAAATCACATCACACATCACGCACATTTACTAAATATTACATCAGTACATACATATAAAAAGGATTATTTAAACTAGAAAAAATAGGTTGTTGTGAAACATATCCAATTTTTACACAATCCAACCATAACACAAGAGAACATTTTAATTAAGGCTCGTCGAATGTGTAACCTTTGTTAATCTATTAATAACTATGTGAGACTGAATGCAGAAGTTAAATTTAACATCGCTCCACCGCCGCTGACTGCCCCAGCTTCGGATCCTATTTAAGGTTTCGCCAAGGCATCATATTTCACCTCATCGCCACACTCGTTACCATTTCCTAGTTTTGTTAAATGCCTCATTGGTTATTAGGATGGTTTTTTCTTGTAGATGGAGAACTTCTATAATAAATTAAATATTTTATTGACATTGATAATGAAACCTGCATTATTAATACATTTATTGCACTCCCGAAATTCCATAAGACCGATTTTCAAAACTCCTTTGAAAAGTCTTCATCGATATGAGGTCACAGAAAGAAAGAAAAGCGCTCATCTCGTGCTATGGCTTTTCAACGTTTGTGTACCTAGTTATCTACCCAACGTCGAGGATGTGGGACGCATCTGGTACAGAGTCGGACTCAGCTAGCTAAAGCTAAAGCTATTTATTAATTTCGGCTCAGCCTTAACAGAGAAACAAAATTTTGATTAGACCTACCGGGGTAGTATTGATATTCCAAGAATGAAGCAAAGTCTCTCGAAAGAAGACCAGGCACTTTTATTAAATTTTTTGACGTCTGGGATCTGTAATACTAATCTTTAGGTTTGTATGTTTCATGATACGCGTGTTTGTGTGTTGGGTTGTGTATTAGTAGTTTAATTCGCATCTAATCAGATTAAAAACTTTCTCAAATTCTCGAGTACGTCCCTTTTTGTGTCATATCGTATCTTTTGTTTCTCGTTGGCTAATCTCCAGTCTACTTGCAGGCTTTCAGCATTTCCAACGGGGTACAGGTGCGAGCTTCGTATTATAACAATACAGGATCACTATAAGGCGATGCTATTTTGTTTTAGACAATGCATTTGAGCTTCCTTCGTGTGCTTTGAACATATGTGAATGTTAAATTATGAAATCATTGATCTAGAGTTTTGACTATTTTTTTGTATTTTTTCTGGTTACAGATGTTCCTAAATACATATTTTATTTGAAATTTCTTGTAGTTGATTCGGGTTGCTTTGAACTACATATAAGCTTAAGACTATAGTACGGTTATGATAGCACAGAAAAAAAAACACAGAGCAACTGCAACACAAAAAGAAAACGGGTAGTTTATCGGCCGGCTTCAGACAGGCATTAAGAGAAAATATAGGTTATATTAGAATAAAGCCGTTAAGTTACTATGACCCTGTGCTTAAGATGATTTTTCGCATATTGTTATAACAAATAAATACCCAATTTTATACTAATCTTGTGGTCTTCAAATCTTTTAATGTTTGGGACTCAATATTATTATAGGGTAGAGAAGGGCACATCACACACTGTGAATCTTACATCTACAGGTGAGCCACAGTATCAGAATTCTGGTTTTATAAGCTCTATTGTCTGCTTAGCATCGGGTGAATAAACAATAAGAAAACGTTTAGAAATATTATGTCTGATTCTCTGGCAGCCTAAATCGTTTTGATCTTTGACTCTTTTTAATGTCAAATGAGTCTTATTTATTTGAATCATTTCCGCTTATCAAATTTTAAATGGAAACAACGATGAAAAGGTTCCAAAAGTTTATGAAAAAAAAATCGAGTAAGATAGATTTGAGTCATCAGAGATCCTTATCGGCAACGCCAATGCAAAAGAGATCATATTCAAGTTTTATGAATCTTTTGAACATCCTTAAATCTATGTTTTTTTTTTATTGCCAGATGTGTGGACGAGCTCACAGCCCACCTGGTGTTAAGTGGTTACTGGAACCCATAGACATCTACAACGTAAATGCGCCACAAACCTTGAGATATAAGTTCTAAGGTCTCAGTATAGTTACAACGGCTGCCCCACCCTTCAAACCGAAACGCATTACTGCTTCACGGCAGAAATAGGCGGGGCGGTGTTACCTACCCGTGCGGACTCCCAAGAGGTCCTACCACCAGTAATAACCTACTTGGATTAGCCTCCAAGAAAAACGGTTGCTGTGGCAACCGTCTTATTGACAAAATCTTTCAGTAAAACTATTTTACAGCTGTTTCAGTATATATTTTATGCAATAATGATTATAAAAATTGTATAATTTTTTAATAAAAAATACCATGAAGTTATTGAAATTCCACCTTCGATATTATCCTCCGGGATTGATATTGGAATACTCGCAAAAAGGAACAATAAAGAATAAGGAGATTGATCTGTTGGATCTAAATACCAAGTAAGCTATACTTTATTTTCTATATGAATACATAAAACAGAGAAACACACAAGGTTAAAGTTACAGAACTAAAATCAAATTACGAAAAATCTTAATACGGTCGCTTGTTAGATTCATTGAATTTTTTACTAAATTCAAATTGTTATGGAATGAAAGACATGTAGATTTTCTAGTGTTCGTAGCTTAATTGGTGAACTGGCATGTGCATTTTGTTATTTATACCATGGTTCGATGGCGGGTACCGTTTTATATTAATTATAAAATATGTAGTAATAATCTATCATGTCTGATTAAAGACTTCGATCACCGACAGCATGGGCATTATCAATATGAACCTCGTGTCACCTGCCGCTCTAAAACGCCCATTTCTTGATTCCAATGACCGCCGTTCTGTGGGGCGAATATAGCGTAATTAGTAATTAGACTGAGGGACTCAGTCATTCAATTTTTAATTAACACCACAATCGAAGTACAAGGAAGCTTTATTTTTGCAGCAGTTTACACAGATAACATTATTTTCATTTAATCATCTTTTTGGCGATAATTATAATAAAGTCACAGACTATCTCCCTACCAACATGTCGTGCGTTCCGGATCACACATCATAAAAAGATACGTTCTTAAACGCCACAAGACTAAGCTACTTTCTTAGACATCTGCCGCGGCGGGAATCGGACTACAAGATACCTAATATTTAAATGTAGATCCGACTTCCATCCGTGTTGACGTATCTATATCTATACTAATATTATAAAGAGGAAAGATTTGTTTGTTTGTTTGTTTCGAATAGGCTCCGAAACTACTGGACCGATTTGAAAAATTCTTTTTCCATTAGAAGCCGACATTGTCCCTGATGAACATAGGCTACTTTTTTTATTTATTTTTTTATTTATTTTTTTTGGTTTCATGTGTGTTTTAATGTTTCCGAAGCGAAGCGAGGGCGGGTCGCTAGTGTGTAGATAAAGATAGGCCTAAAAAACTCAGAAGAAGAAAGAAGATCACTGGTGGTAAGACTTCTTGTGAGTCCGCACGGGTAGGTACCACCACCCCGCCTATTTCCGCCGTGAAGCAGTAATGCGTTTCGGTTCGAAAGGTAGGGTAGGTAGGTACGCAAATTATAATTTTGCGGGTTTCATTTTTATTGCACGATGTTATTCCTTCACCGTGGAAATCAATCGTGAACATTTGTTGAATACGTATTTCATTAGAAAAATTGGTACCCGCCTGAGATTCGAACACCGGTGCATCGCTCAACACGAATGCACCGAACGTCTTATCCGTTAGGCCACGACGAAACATTTTACGTTTGTTGAATTCAATAAAAGTAACCCGATATCTTTAATCTCTTAGTTCAAACATAAAAGAAGTGGCACAGCATCTCTGCACCAAAGAGGCGTTAATCACGGACGAAGTGAAAGACCGATTGGAGCAATGTCTCGACACCTTAAAGAAGAGAATCGAACACGAAGGACCGGCTGGCAAAAGATTCTACATCTACAAGACATTACAGACACATTTATTGCCACTAACCAATGTGGCCTTTGACAAAACTGGGAAAAGGTAGGGATTTTCAAATAACACACACACGTGGTGTACCATTGGTGATTCCTGAAGGTGATATCATAAATATCGATATAAAAACTTTCTTTTTAAGAGTTGATGCCTGACAAAATTTTGTTTTTATCACATGGCAAATAAAAAAGATTTTAAAATACTTAATCATACATTTACAATTTATTCACGACTACCTTTGAGAGATCGGGAAAATGTTTGAGTCCAGGCACCGTTTGCAATTTTGACTCGCCTCAAATGTTACCAATCTAAACCCGAAATCCGCTACATATTTGAGCCAATAATTTTGTTTTCTATCCGTTGTTTATTTAATGATAGCATCATATTATGAATAGTCACTGCAGAGCTTCACTGTTCGATGCCTGACACTTGTATGATTTTTTTAACTGTAAATGATAAATTCTGAACAGTTGGCGAATTTTAATATAACTATGATTTGACCAGATGTTTGACGGGCAGCTACGACAGAACTTGTAAGATATGGGACGTCGAAACCGGTAAGGAGCTAAAGAGCTTCTCCGGACATCAGAATGTCGTCTATTCAGTTGGCTTCAATTTTCCTGCCTGGTAGGTTTTATGAAATGCTTTTACGCTGTTGTATGTATTCTATAAGTGACTCTTATATTTCATTTTAGATAATTTAGAGTATCTCTTCATATCGTCTCCATTACATTTAAATACTTGTTAAACTTTTAAATAATATAAACAGAACATAGGATCTTCCACAATTAAGCTATTAGAATCCGTCCTTGGTTAAACTATAACAACCAGATGGTATTTTCCTTCTCAACTGTTCTTTTAGCAGTTTTATAGCACGATGTGATTAAATTGCAGTCGTAGCTCGTTTGCGTTAAATACTGAACTTAAAATCTCTTCGCACTCAAAATCTTTCTTCCACAGCGATCGCGTCCTAACGGGCTCCTTTGATAAAACTGCAAAAGTCTGGGATCCTTCTTCGGGTGAATGTCTGGCGACACTGTGGGGGCACCGAGCCGAAGTCGTGGCTGCTCAGTTCAGTTCCAAGGGAGACTTTGCTGCCACCGGCTCTATGGATCATACCGCTAAATTATTTGACTTAAAAACTGGTAATTATTGAACAGTAGCAGTTATTAATCAATATTTCCGTCTAGGTATTGTCAAAAGACTAGAGATCAAATAGCAATGAGCTCGTCTATTCATATACTGTAATTTCAATTATCCGGCCATACTACTCGAAGTACTATAACTATAATGGCCTTTATATAGCTACTTTCTTTCCAAGTCAAATCTAAGCCAATCCAAGGTCTTCCAGTATAAAAAAACTTACTTCGGATTGGCAATTAGTCAAAACGGTGCGCACATGATATTTCAGATTTTTTTGTTGCGTTCAATAACAAAGTCATACAGAGTAAGAAATGTTAAGTCGTCCAATTATAGTTGAGTCTGGTTGTAGTGTTGACCGCGGAAACCCCACTATTCTGACCCCGGGCGGAGATCGGAAGTGTGGTGTAAGAGTGCGAGGTGTGAGAGTGGAGTCGTTTCGTCAGGTAGCGCCCCTAAAAATATCCTTGGAGAGTCTGCTCCCAACATCTACAGACCATCTGCATACCTCGTAGGAGGATCGGCCCCTGCAAAAAAAACAACTAAAGATCGCTTAGTTTTTTAGTTTTTTTATAGTAATTTTAGCATTAGTTTAGTTGCATATCTTCATACTAATATACCGGGTGTCTTAACCATTAACCCACGATGGTTTTTAAAAACTTTTTAATATGACAATTAACAAAATTCGAATTTTGATCCCAGGTACTGAAATACACACATACAATGGTCACACCGCGGAGGTGGTCGCTCTGCAGTTTGATCCCAATGAAGGACGCCGTTTGATTACTGGATCCTTTGATGGTACCATCGCTCTGTGGGACGTTAGAGCTAAAGAGTTAGTATCACTTAATCTAAATAATATTACATCCACATAATTAAAACGAGAGAGAGACAGATTTATCAGCTATAAAAGCTGCTATTTTTGTAATGAAGCAGTAATGCTTTCGGTTTGAAGGGTGGGGCAGCCGTTATAACTATACTTGAGACCTTAGATCTTATATCTCAAGGTGGGTGGCGGCAATGACGTTGTAGATGTCTATGGACTCCAGTAACCACTTAACACTAGGTAGGCTGTGAGCTCGTCCACCCATCAAAGGAATAAAAAAAAATAAACAAAATGGGTAGTCTATGAACCTTGACCTTACAAAAGGAAACATCTTTCCAACAAAATATTAGAAATAAGCAGTGCTCGCAAAACTTTTTACAACTCAAAGGGACTCATGAAATCTTTCTTAATATCTAAATTAAATTTAACTAAACTAATAGTGAAAAAGTGAAGCAATTTATTGAATCTGACCAGAGTCAGCCCTAAACGACGGGTATCCAAGGAAAGATCCAATTTTTGTTTGGAATGAAAGATTACTGGTGGCCCGGATACCTTTCCAGTTTCACTAGGACAGTAGAGTTATTAATTGCATTCTCAAACTCGGTTAAGTTTCTAGCAATTGCAAATGCTTCTATAATTTGTTATCAAATTTTAGACTTAGATTTCGGAGAGCATAGCTTTTTACTATATTATTACTATCATGAAAATGAGTAAGTAGATAACACTATTGTTATAGAAAAAAACCAGTAATCTTCTTTCTTTTTTAGTCGGGTGTCAGTATTCCAAGGTCACGACGGAGAGATCTCGAACGTTCAGTTCAACTGGGACTCGTCGCTGGTGGGGTCCTCGTCGCTCGACGGCAGCGCCAAGCTCTGGGACGCGAGGAGTAACTCTTGTCTCGCCACGGTCGCCGGCCACACGGATGAGGTACGAAAACTAGGTCTTTAAGCAAACTTTTTGAAGTCGTCGTGGCCTAAAGGATAAGACGTCCGGTGCATTCGTGTTGAAGCGATGCACCGGTGTTCGAATCCCAGGCGGGTACCAATTTCTGTAATGAAATACGTACTCAACAAATGTTCACGATTGAGTTCCATGGTGAAGGAATAGCATCGTGTAATAAAAATCGTGTAAATCGTGTAAAAATCAAACCCGCAAAATTATAATTTGCGTAATACTGGTGGTAGGACCACTTGTGAGTCCGCACGGGTAGGTACCACCACCCTGCCTATTTCTGCCGTGAAGCAGTAATGCGTTTCGGTTTGAAGGGTGGGGCAGCCGTTGTAACTATTCTTAAGACCTTAGAACTTATATCTCAAGGTGGGTGGGTATCTATGGGCTCCAGTAACCACTTAACACCAGGTGGGCAGTGTGCTCGTCCACACATTTAAGCGATAAAAAAATTACATTTATCTGTTCGCTTCTTTTATTTATTAGAAACAATTTCAGGTCCTAGATATTTGCTTTGACTGGGCCGGTCAGCGAATGGCGACATCGTCCAGCGACTGTTCGGCGAGGATCTATGACGTCAAGTCTGATTTCAAGGAACTAGCCATTATGAAGGGGCACAGAGAAGAAGTCTCTAAGGTCTGAACAGTAACTGTATATACAGGCGTGGCGGTATACAGGCGTGGGTCTATGACTCGTAACGCGGAAATGTGAACTCACCCTAGATTCATTATTTTGTTCTATATTCGACTTCTATGATCATAGTCAGATACCGTAAATAGTCATGCAGTAGAAGTGAAATCTTCAGAAGTCTTCTATCTCATTCTCTCGCAAGCTAAATCCGAAAAATCTATTCGTTTATCTATTTTAGTGTCGCTTTATCGTTTCACAAAGTTTCGGATACAGCTGAAGCGATTTTCACTTGAAAATCTATTAAAATTTTCGCATTATACATTAAGGTATGCTTCAGTCCAGCCGGTGGATGTCTCCTGACCGCTTCAGCTGACCGAAGCGCTCGTATCTGGAATACAACTACCGGCAACTGTATTCAGGTGAGCAAATAATAAAACTCACGAACAGCTATAGTCCCAATTTTGTTTGTCGTAGAACTGGTAGCAGGACCTCTTGTGAGTCCGCACGGGTCGGTACCACCGCCCCGCCTATTTCTGCCGTGAAGCAGACCATACGTTTTAGTTTGAAGGGTGGGGCAGCCGTTGTAACTATACTTGAGACCTTAGAACTTATATCTCAAGGTGGGTGGCGCATTTTACGTTGTAGATGTCTATGGGCTCCAGTATGTGTGCTCCAGGCTGTGAGCTCGCCCACCCATCTAAGCAATAAAAAAATGTTGAAGCACTAAAATGATCTGTAAACGAAAACAGAAAGCGAAAAACCGTGACTGCTTGCTCCTGGCGTTACTGAGATCACCACTCAGTCGTAGTATGCTCATCTATAAAGACATCGTTTATAAAGCCAATTAAATTATATATTTTGCAGGTTCTGTCTGGTCATCAAGGGGAGATCTTCTCTTGTGCTTTCTCGTACGCAGGAGACGCCATTGTCACCGCTTCTAAAGACAACACCTGCAGGATATGGAGATGATTGGACTGGTGGCTGTAAGATCGACAGTTGAAGATCCTACAGTTGTTTTATACCAAAAAAATATATAAGATAATACTAGTAACATGTTTACAATGATTTGTTTTAAATTATGACCTGTACCATTATTGCTTTCATTGATGTAGACGGGTAGGCCAGCTCTCAACCGAGAGGCTAACTTAAATATCCATGGCATAAGAGATAAAAAACCTTTTTGTTGTTAATTATTCAAACCCGCAAAAGACATCTTACTTATTTATTGGTGGTAGGGTGTACTAGAGGAAAAAGAAGAGGTAGGCTTAAGAAAAAATGGATGGATTTCGTGAAAGACGATATGTGTAAGAGGGGAATTATCAAAAAAATGGTATATGATAGAGGAGTATGGAAGGAGAAAACATGTTGCGCCGACTCCAGGTGAATGGGAAAAGGGCAGAAGAATGACGAGGGTAAACTGTGAGCCCGAATGGGTAGGTCACCATGTTTCTAGTTTGAGTGCTGAAACTTCCCAAACAGAAGCACTTGTACTTTGCCAATCACCATGTGATCGGCGCTGGTCTCCAGATGAGCATGAGCTAGACTGCTCATCATAAGCAATAACGTAGGAGTCCATAGACACCCCAATGTGTTCGTTGCTACCCGTTTTCAGACAATAAGTCGAAAACTAAATCACAGTATATAACGTCTATCCCACTCTAGACAAGGCGACACTTTCTATCATCAATACAAAATTCCCTTCTCTAAATTTAACGAAGGCTTGGCAATAGCATTGACTTTTTAAAACTGTTGTGTTTCTTTTCCATCAATGTGAATGACCAAATGACCAAAATCACGAAAAGGTTCTTGTAATTACCAAACCTGACATCTATCGCTCAGACACAAAAACCGCAAATTGTTAGTAAGTGCCTACAACAACAATTTCAAGTTGTCTAATGTCTCAGTTGTTGTTACTCACGGAAGGACTACAATCTTTCTGTTCCATGAAATAAGGTAAATTATCCGTTGTTCTAATTTGCGAGATATTACTTTTGAGTTAACCGTGATCAACTGCCGGGGTGGGCTGCACCGATTATGCCAATCAGACGTCTTCCTCGTTTCGTATTTAGTGAATCATTGACGCATAATCTTGATCATTACATCATCACATAGATACAGGAAGGAAGCGATATTGTTTTTAAATGAAGCAAGCAGATGGATCTTGGTTTTTACTTAGTTAAGTTTAAGTAGTAGCGTAATGAAATGCAGTCTTTTATTTTGTTGAAATTTTTGAAATCCTTTTGCGACACACACCATGTGCTGGACATGTAGAGTACAATGCGTTTCAAATAAGAATGTGCATGGACTTGCGCCATATTGTGACGTCACAGCTGTCAAATCGAAAAATATAGGTAGTCAGTAAAAAAGATAGGTATTTTAAAATAACTAGTGGTCCCACGGTATTCGAAATTCGACTGTAATTAATTGAAATTATAAGTTTGTACACTACTATGATTCTTTTTTTTTTTTTTTTTATTGCTTAGATGGATGGACGAGCTCACAGCCCACCTGATGTTAAGTGGTTACTGGAGCCCATAGACATCTACAACGTAAATGCGCCACCCATCTCGAGATATAAGTTCTAAGGTCTCAGTGTAGTTACAACGGCTACCCCACCCTTCGAACCGAAACGCATTACTGCTTCACGGCGGAAATAGGCGGGATGGTGGTACCTACCCGTGCGGACTCCCAAGAGGTCCTACCACCAGTGATGACAATTATTATACTTCTCTAATCACAGATTTCGCCAAGACTACACTTTAGGTAAATATGCATAAAGACAAACAATATTTAATCTATACTCAATTTGACCACAGACGTCAAGAAAAGTTTGACAATAAATAAATATGTAGTATGCTTGCGTGTGTGCGTCAAATACATGGAAGTGTGTGTAATGGTTTTTTTTATTGATCTAATGTATTTTTAGGCATAATTTCAAAAAATATTAACATTCTGCACTCCTTCTCTGTATTCTCTATAAGTGTGGAAAATTTCATACTTACTCCTCCGTCCGCGCAATTTTCGTAAAAAGGGATACAAAGTTTTTCCTTCACGTATTAATAAATAGATATTTATTTAAAACCCAAAACCACACGTTCGCCGATCCCAGTCATCCCACTGCTTGAGCTGAGCAATCATCATGGTCGTCGCCGTCATAATCCTCATTGCTGCTTTCCCCTATAAACAATATTTAGGTCATCAAAATATTCCATTGGTTGATTATATATTATTATTTATTAAGTATTGTAAGCAGTACCTATCTTGAATAGACACGATTTTTTATACCGTTCGAGCCATTTTCATTGTTTTATTTTGCTTTTAGCATGCGGCCCACCTGATGGTTAGTAGTCTCGTCGCTCTTTTTTTTATTGCTTAGATGGGTGGACGAGCTCACAGCCCACCTGGTGTTAAGTGATTACTGGAGCCCATAGACATCTACAACGTAAATGCGCTACCCACCTCGAGATATAAGTTCTAAGGTCTCAAGCATAGTTGCAATGGCTGCCCCGCCCTTCAAACCGAAACGCATTATTGCTTCACGGCAGATGGTACCTACTCGTGCGGACCCACAAGAGGTCCTACCACGAATAATTACACAAATTATAATTTTGCAGGTTTGATTTTTATTACACGATGTTATTCCTTCACCGTGGAAGTCAATCGTGAACATTTGTTGAGTACGTATTTCATTAGAAAAATTGGTACCCGCCTGCGGGATTCGAACACCAACCGGTGCATCGCTCAACACGAATGCACCGGACGTCATATCCTTTAGGCCACGACGACTATATAAACATTAATCTAAATAAATTAATAAATCCATTTTACCTAAGTTATTATAATAAGCTGTTACTACATATAACTGTGTGTACTCAAAACAAGAAATTCGCGGGTATTTTCACATATAAAAAAAGGCATGAAATGCTGTTTGAGTTGCAATACCTTGTTCTGCAATATTACATTATGGCCTACATATACCAATAAAATATAGTATTGTATAACATGTAGTATTATGTATTTTTAATATAACTATATATGTATATTATTATTTATTTATTATTTATTAATGCTTTATTTCAGTTTTTTTTTTTTTTTAAACCATGACATTTTGTTAGTAATAATTACTTATAATCTATGTTAGTAACTTAAAAAATCTAACACATAACTATCATTATATACATTTTATACCATTATATATTTATTTATTTTCTCCTTTCAAGTGCCTACTGCAAAGGCTATTGATCAGCAGTCCCTCGATCTTGCTCGATATGATTCTCAAAAGACTGTTGCCACTGTCACGAACTTTATTATTATGTATATATTTATACATAATAATATATTAAGTGGTATTACGGTTATCGGTCGTACCAACTCAGTCGGGTCAAGTGTCCTTCGATAATACAAAGTGATACACTGAAGGAAAAAAGTACTGTATCAATTATTTACTGTCTTATTTTTATTGATTGGAAAATTTTATAGCAGATAAAATCATTCATGCTTATGAATTTTTTAATACAGTAATAGAATCTATTCTATTCACCCTCTTCTAATTGTCGTTTAACATTAAAAAAACAAAATGTGTGCAATTCACACGTGGTAGAAGTGAAACCTTCCAAAATTAAAATACAATTATCCTAAACGTCTTAAGTATATGTAAAATTTTGTCATTGGTAAATAATTGTAAGGTAGCGCCCTCTGTGAATTGATATTTTAATTTCACGTATAATCCTAAATTAAAATTCACTACAAGAGCTTTCATACACACGTTAGTATTAAAAAATCTCACAGATGGCGCTGTATTTAATAGTATGTATATTTCTGTCTCATTCTTTGCTGGCTTCATCCTACACATTTTTGTATTTGTGTCTCTTACCTGTCGTTTTTTCCGTTGCATCCGGTTTGAAATCACAACGATTCTAAAGAAGTTTTCACTTCAAAAACATCACTAAATTAAAAATAACAAAAACCTACGTAGTCTAGTAATGGTAATAAATGATTCATCTTGATAGCTTGGCTTATTAGACTCCTCATAGATTTGTGACTGTCATGATTTATTTTTCACTGCATCATCTAGATTTGCAGTGAATTGTGTTATTCAAAGTCTGTTAAGTGTACATAATTGAAATTTTGGTTGTGCGTGTTTGTACTAAAAAGTAATGTGCTTATATCAATACTCGCATACAAACTCACAAGCCTAAATTGTTTCCTATTATTTCGTTATGTACGTAATTGCTCAAAGAGAAAGTTTATGGTGCAATTAAATATATTTTTTTGACAAATCATTTTAATTTGACAAATCGCATAGTGTAGTCACCAGCGTCTTAGCTATGCTCAAGCATTGCCAATGTCCATAGCAGATGATCGCCACTCATCAGCAGGCGTCCCGCATTCTCGTGTGTTTGTGAATTGAAACTATAGATGATAAAGAGAGAAACTAAAAGCACTACATGGTATACGCACCTAACTTAAATTTACTGGATGTCTTCGAAATCATCTCCACAGTCAACAAGAGTTCAACTTAGAGCCTATCATTTATATTAGATAAGTAAACATACCACAATAGGAACTTTGAACCAAGGATAATTTTTGTGGGACAGCTATTCTACTATACAACCGAAAATTCAACTAAAGGGTCCGGTAACCAGTTTACACCGAATGGGCTGTGGTCTCTTTCTCCTCCTCTTCTCAGACACATTTCTTCTTTGTTTGATCACAGAATATTACTGTCCTACTGTCCAGCAGGATATGATACGTAGTAACATTTGCTTAATTATATTATCATCTCACGATTGTTCCTGTCCCCGCTTTTTTGATAATGACAGGAACGCGTACGGGAACCCTGATTACAAATTTAAAAAAAACGTTAAAAAAGAATTTAAATTAGGAATTATCCATGTAAATTAAATTAGAAAAAGGTGAAATTGTATTTATTTATTTTCATCGCGACTGTACGTGATATTTGAAGTCAGCCGGAGTTAAACGATGGCTCATTATCGCTTTCAACTTCAAACTGAACGGTCGTGGATAACTGATTCACAATGTGGCGTTATTTGTTGCTCTCAATGTTTCTATTCGTGAATGTGAATACTCATTATTTGTATAAAACTAAATGGTTTGAAGTGCCTCTCGATCATTTCGGTTTAGGGAGGAAAGAGACGTTTAAAATAAAGTACTTGGAAAACGAAGATTACTGGAATAAAAATGAATATGGACCTATTTTCTTTTACACGGGAAATGAGGTACTGTGTAATGAACTCTTATTAATATTAATTAATATTTTACGTGTTCTATTAATGCTTACAACAAACTATAGTTTATACAATCTCTATATAAAGTATGCCATTCAAGTCGATATATATTCAAATAGTAAGTAATATTATGTTAAATAAAATTAATAATCCTATTATTGCGCAAAAATTGCAAGTAGCTATAGTACAGTAGAAAATTACCATTTTCATAGAACAGAATTACATATTCAAACTTTATTCAACTACCTACCTTCAAATACCTTTTACTGGAATGCAGATTTAAAATCCTTGATACCCAAATCCACGTTAATATTGCCTAATATTGATAATAACAAAAATGCCAGTCAACTATATCTACCATGAATACCTTTACTCATCACGTAAAGGTGATTCGTAAGTTTTTGTTAGCCCAAACTGATTGGTACCACAGTTCTGCTTATTTCTGCTGCGAACCATGTAATCCGGATTCAAAGGTTCAAGGATAGGAAAGCCGTTAGAAGCAACAAAGCCAGTTTCAGTCAGATAACGACCTTTTGAGATGTTTGATGGTGGATGACAGCGCTTAAGTTGAGGTGTTTACTGCCTGTGTCACAACCGATTATTTTTATTATTTTAAATGATTTGTAATAGGTGTTCTTGTTTCGGGATCAGTGCTGATCAGTAGTTTACAGCAAAAATATATTTAGGCACTAAAACTTGCATACATGAGGAAAAAAACAAGAGCAGCAAGATATTTCCTCAATAAAAACAGAAATATTTTCATGTTTCAAACTTTTTTTGTAATCGTTAAATTGGCTTCGTAACTACCGCACGCACTACACAACATCCAGTGAATAAGAAATTTATTAAAATGTTTAAAGAACATTATCGATTCATTCGTTTTATCTCGGGTCAAAAATGAGTCATTGAACTAAGCTCTTATTAGTTTACGTTAACCAAATATGCATATGTTAAATGAGAAAACTTATCCTTAGATATCGTATTCAGAATGTAAGGGAATCATTCTCAATGCCGTAACAATAACACTAGTGTCTCAATAATATCTCAGGATAAACGCCGAACAATAATTATATTCAGTTAAAATACTTATTGCTTAGAATGTTCCATTTACAACTAGAAGGTATGTTTTCCGAGCCTCAGCTGATGTTTATTATATTAGTGTGCGCCCAGGGGACGATATGTGTTATAAATGTTATAATTACCAACACCTCAGGATTAAGATTCATTTTATACTAGTACATTTTTTGGAACGAAGTTTCTTAAGGGACGATGCGGGGGGTACCCTAGCCGGGAAAAAACATCCGTAACGTAAGATTTTTATTAGTAATGCACACAGTGTACGACTTAACTTTGTAATAACGTACAAAAAATAATATAAATTTTTTATCATTCATCGACCACGATCTCAGAGCGTTCTTTTGGGCAATACACTAACTCTTATGCAAACAACCGTGAATAAAGTGTACCACAATAAGTTCGCACGTTACCGAATGACCGTGGGTTGTTGCGAAACCTCTAGTTTTATTTTCTTCATACGTCGAATAGAACTTAAAATTAATATTTTTATAATAAGGAACTTCGTTCCTATCCGGTGTCCCACGACTCCACACATATTTTTTTTCTAATATTGTTTCTTAAAATGGTGAGAAAAACCAAAAATGCTTTTTTTTATAAATAATGTTTATATAATATTCTCTTCAGTTTTCACGCTTCCCGTTTTTATATTACATATTTCCAACGTTGGTATTTATCGCTATTTGTGAGTATTCGAAGCGTTTGAAATAATATTGACAATAAAAATCACGGAATCAAATCATAACAGTAGTTTTAATTCATAATTATTTATTAAATTTGTATACAAAAAATTACGTATCGAAAATATTGGTTCATACATGAGCTTACTTGAAGCACAATAAAATTAGAGTAAACTAAAAAGGTGTAAAACTGTTTTGTATTGGCTTATTATAAACAAAGATGACATTACGTGCAGCATAAAAATGTTTTATTATGTTTTATAATAATAAGATACCATTACCATTATTAGTTCGTTGGACTCATCGCATCGTCCACATATCTACACCTGGAGGTTCACTTAATAGCTGAATAACATTTCAATGCCATATATGCGGCATCACCTAAGAGCTTTCCGAGTCAATTCTTTGTCCTTGTTCCGCTATACCGTTTACAACTAAAGGCCGGTAATTTATAAATAATAGTACATATTTACCTTGGTGTTGCATGACTGCGAATGCTGTAAAGTAATTTCAAAACTTTCGAGATGAAACCGTAAAAGTATTAAAATGTTGAAGCCTCTCGAAAACCTGAGTAACAAGCACTGAGTATTAACGGTAGCTAAGATACCTTACAAGAAATCCGACAAAAACCTGAATCGGACTGACGACTTGCGACAAGGCGAGACTGCCTATGAATAAGTTTAAAATATTAGAATCGGACCGTCATCGCGTCAGTCTACAAAGCAATGACAACCGCTCAATGGATCGTACCATCAAGTTGATTCATTCATTCATTTTCAGCCCTTTGAAACTCTCTACTGATCCTTGACCTCCCCTTTTTTCGGCCATAATATTCGATCGCCCGGCATTCTCACCCACGTCGTGACGCCGTTTTGACTATGCGACAGCGCAGCTCGCCGGCTACACCAGCTGGGCTGTCTAACGGCTCACGTTCCAGAGCTTTCGTTTCGCCTCGAAGGCTCCGAGGCCAAGCGTCCTTGGGGTGAATTGCGCGTCGGGTTGCAGTATTGATCGCGGTAACCCTTTAGCTCATTTGGGTTCTGACCTCGGGGGCATTGGACGCTTGGGTGAGAGTGCAGAGGAGTCGTTTAATGGGTAGGGCCATAAATACTATCCTTGGTCCGGCGATCCGCTCCCAACATCTGCGGATCATCCAGCCCCACATACGCCACGTGCAACTCGTGAGAGGTTCAGCCTACGGCCCAAATATAAAGTAGAATATAAAAAAAATGAAGTACCACTTCGCTCTGTTGAGACCAATATTTTAGAAGCCAACATCGCTTTACCTTCCTTAAGACTCCAATATTCAAGAAAGGTACGAGAATTTTATAAAAGAAAATACTGTTTATTTTAATCGACCAGGGTCAAATAGAAGCATTTGCCAATTACACCGGCTTCATGTGGGAGATAGCGGCTGAATATCAAGCCAAGATTGTTTTCGCAGAGCACAGGTAATTTTTTTACCTACGAATATGTACCATTTTGTAACTATATTACATATCCGAAGATTTATCATTTAAAAAAACAAGTTATGTGAATTCCAGTGTACCTTTGATCATGATCTAAAGTAGTTTAATAAATTTGTTCCGTTTAATCTGACTATTATTGGTCCTTTTTTCTTAAAGCATATTCTTAAAGCTTATACAATTGAATGTGTCACTTAATTTTTTTCTGCAGTAATGCCACGATACCTATATTCTGATTCTAAGCCTGCTCTTTGCAGTTCAGTAAATTTATTTAAAATGAAATTGAGCACTGCCGGCTATTTATAATTTTAGAGCTGACAGCTACTGAAAAATCCAGCATGCAAAAAATAGTTAAAATAATAAGTGCAAGTAAAGGTCTAACATATTCTGTGTGATTTTAACATATAGTTCAGAGCCACATAAAACCATCTGATTCCCTAAAACTTATTTAAAACTAATTTTTAATGTTAATCACTGCTTCGATTTCCAGATATTATGGAGAGTCAAAGCCTTTTGGTAACAAGTCCCTGGAAAAAGAGTACATTGGGTACCTCACGTCCGCCCAGGCACTGGCTGACTATGCCGACCTCATCAATTACCTTCAAAATAATGAAATCAAACCTCGCTACCCAGTCATAGCTTTTGGAGGTATATATGTGAAAAAAAACTGCGATAATTAATATGCCAAATCAAGGAACCGGGTCGTTTTTTACCTTTTAAAAAAGAGATTGCTAAACCTTTCGTTTTTATGTCTTCTTCAACCAATCAAGAGTCATCAAGCATCAAGAGCCTGTAGAAATGCTTGGTGATAATAATATAACAGGCACAGTAAAGTTTGGATCTAACAAACAAAAAAATATATATATCTAGATAGATTATTTTCTGGAACAAAGCTTAAATGCTTTTAAAACTATCCATGGCGAGTAATCGTTCAAAACTTTAGGCGATGTGGTCGGTGGTATTGTTTATGTTCGTTATATAGTTTATGTCAGCCTTTCCCAAAGTGGGCGATAACGCCCACTTGTGGGCACTGCAGGCAGTGATGTCTTAAACTAGGATGGGGCCCTTGGGCACACAAGAATTTGAAGCCCTTTTTTTTTGGAAAGTAACAAAAGCGAATTATAATAACATTTTTTTACTGAGTATGACCATTTATTATAGGTAATCAAATAGAATATAATATGTCATTAATGATATTAGAATGCTGCTGGTTTTTTGGTTACTATTTCGATAACGGTTTCTTTCGGGATTTCTGTTGAGCAAAATCTTCTATTATAGGCATAGTATATGCCTTGTAAATACCTTCTGATTACTGATTTGTGAAAAAAGTGTAATGTGCCCAAAAAAATGTTTTGAGAATAAGCGTGTGAGAGAAATTGTCGGTCTTTCGGGGCCCTCTGAAAATGGGGGCCCTGGTCACGGGCCCCGTGTGCCCTTATGGTAAAGACTGTATTGACTGCAGGCCTAAAGGTGAGCGGTAAGAGACCCTGAAAATAATGGAGGCGATTTGTAATTTCATCTAGGAAGACTCTTAGACACCGACTGAGCTCTCGCTATAGTGGTTTTTGAAGTAGGTGAAAAAATGGGGCACTAAAAAATAATTTATTCTCAAAGTGGGCAGTAGACCAAATAAGTTTGGGAGCCCCTGGCTTATGTTAAGTTAGTTAGTTATTCGTGAACTTATTTAGTGTGCTATATTCACGAGTGCTAACGTCAGTTTCATCCAGCCCTACCTACAACTATTTGCCTGTTAGCCTCCATTTCTATTTGTAATTCTATTTCTAGGCTCGTATGGTGGAATGTTAGCTGCTTATATAAGGATAAAGTATCCCCACCTAGTGGCCGGATCTATAGCCGCCTCAGCTCCCATACACATGTTTCCCGGAATGACGAAGTGCGATCTCTTCAATAGGATCGTAACGGCCAGTTTCAAGCGGAATTTGTACTGCTCGGAAAACATACAAAAATCATGGCACTTGATAAGGTATTTTCGTTTTCATTTGTAATTTTTATTAATTAAAGTTCCTGCGTATTTTTTTATAGAAGGGAAGTTTCTTTACCAAGGAAGCACGGGTGATACAGTATGTATTAATTTGGCGCTTTGACCTATACCTATAGGTATATGCTATCTGATTGTAAAGATTTTGGTAAATCTCTCACATATTAAACTGACTAAATAAAAACTGAAGAGTACGGAAAATGTTATCACTCGAGGAGTTATTAAATATTTAGTTTACAATCGACTATGTATTGTTTTGAGATAACACGTAGGGTTGCATTAAACATTAAATTTGTAAGCTTTAAATATGCTGGAGTCATGGTCCAGACGGCTGGCCGATCCTTCGGCTGGTCGTAGGACCGTCGAGGCGATTCGCCCGGTTCTTGTGAATTGGGTGAATCGTGACAGAGGACGCCTCACTTTCCGGCTCACGCAAGTGCTCACTGGGCATGGTTGCTTCGGTGAGTTCCTGCACCGGATCGGAGCCGAGCCGACGGCAGAGTGCCACCATTGTGGTTGCGACTTGGACACGGCGGAGCACACGCTCGTCGCCTGCCCCGCATGGGAGGGGTAACGTGGCGCCGTGTCCTCGTCGCAAAAATAGGAAACGACTTGTCGTTGCCGAGTGTTGTGGCATCGATGCTCGGTGACGACGAGTCGTGGAAGGCGATGCTCGACTTCTGCGAGTGCACCATCTCGCAGAAGGAGGCGGCGGGGCGTGTGAGAGACGCACAGGCCCACCGCCGTCGAGCGGGGGCCAGGGAGGCGGATTTCGCCCAAGCCCTGGCCCTCTAAGTGTTTCGGGTCTCCCTCACATGTCGGCTTGGGGACCGGCGAAGGGGGCCTAAGAAGATGACGTGCAAGCTGCTCTGCACGCGTTTTATGCAAGAGCATCTGGGTGATGGAAGGCCGGCCATCCTCGACCCACGCTGGTTCTGACCCAGCGGGGTAGTCCGTAGGATAGACCATTCTAACCGGTGCCATCTGGGCGGGCTTCGGATAGCCTGCCGACCGAGAGGACTGGTGGTCGTGGCGCCGACGACCGCCAGTCCGGCATCCCGAGGGGGAGGGTGATGGGAGAGATGTGCTCCGCACTAAACGCTTCACCTTCCCCCCTTTGCCTTTTCATGAGTTCTGTCTCATGCGAGGTTTGGATGCTGGTTGTTGAGCGACAGGAGGTTTTAGTCGGTTCAACTCCGACATGCCCCGCCCTCCATCCCCAGTGGTGGGCGGAAGTCCGGCGATTTCCTCCTGACAAAAAAAAAGCTTTAAATATGATTCTGAATAGATAGGTCGTTTTAGAAACATCGTTCTCGTGTCTCAATGATATAATTCACATTATGGTCTCTTCGGTAATAGTTCGCTCGTGAATTTAAACTAATTTAAAAAAAAGCTTTACCGATGCTACTCAACTCTAAAAGTTTAACTTTATTACAAATTTAAATATTTCAGGAGTTACTCATCATCAGTAAACGGTTCAGAGTATCTTCACAAGACGCTAAATCTATGTGGTGCATCCAACGCAACAGATATCAATTCCTTAATAGAATATTTAGAATCCGCCTATGTGACGCTAGCTATGGTGAACTATCCCTTTGCCTCTAGCTTTCTGACGCCGTTACCAGCGCAGCCTGTGGCCGTGGTCTGTCAATATTTAAATCAAAATTTGGCAAACGAATCATTACTCGAGGTAAGATGACGTTTTCATTTTTTAACAGTTGCTCAAACATGCTTGCCAATAAAGGATCAAAAGAAAATCACCATAAAATGACTTATCGGGACGCCCGACAGGAGTAATAACTGAAACTAATCTCAATTGATCTATTTAATATTGAAATTTAAATTTTCAGGGAATTGCCAAAGTTATAGACGTTTACGCTAATTATGGGAAGAAAACCAAGCAATGTGTAGATTATAAAGAAGGAGACAATTATCAAAATTTGGACGCAGGCGGCTGGGACTTTCAGGTATTCCAGATTTTTATTGGAATTTAAGTAAAAACTGATTATCTATTATATATTTTTTTTTAATTGCGTAGACTTATGAAAGAGCTCACGGCCTACCTAGCGTTAACTTTTTATCGGAACTCATAGACTTGTCTACCGGAACCGCCGCCGTCCACTGTGAAACTTATGATTGAAGTTTCTTTTGGATCATAATACGACTCCTAACTTCAAACCGACCGACCAGGTGATTACGGGAATAGACAAGATTACAGTACCTACCCAGGTCGGTTCATGAGGGGTCTAACCATCGGTCGACATTCACAATTCGTTTTAAATCGGTTTTGGTTTCAGCTTATTTGTGTCTTTATTCTGTCCACCTAAACTAAAGACTTTAATTTGTACAGGCGTGCACAGAGATGGTAATGCCTGTTTGTTCGACGGGGCAGAATGATATGTTCGAAGCGTCTCCGTGGAACTTTACCAAATTTTCTGAAGATTGCTACAAAAAATACAATGTATATCCACGCGAAAACATGGCTAGGCTAGAATACGGTGGAGACTTGCTACAAGCTGCTTCGAATATTGTCTTCAGCTATGGGTTGTTGGACCCTTGGACAGCCGGTTCGTGTCTATTTTTTGTCTCGGCAATAAATCCTACAAAATATTGCAATTAGAATGTATAGATAATTGTTTCTGATCACACACTAGTAAGGCATAAAACATGCCCTACTCGGAAATGCTCAGTTAAGATACGAGAAGAATTTTAGAGATAGCAAATGAGCTGTAAATCATAAATCTTCAAATTCTGGATTATAATGAAAATTTTAGTGAATTTGTTTTGATGATGACGGTGAGGTAGGTACCGTCAGTAACATTATGAATGAGTATGTCAAAGGAAGTGTGAAAGTAGCCCCGGTGATTGACAAATTAAAGAGCGGACGGCTAGCGTGGTATGGACATGTGGTACGTAGAGAAGAGATGCATGTGACTAGAAGATGTATGGAAATGGCAGTGCAAGGTAGTGGGGGAAGACGTCACCCAAAGAAGACATGGATGGAGTGTGTGAATGACGATATGAGAGAGAGGAGTGAGTGTTGAGATGACGGCTGATAGAAGAGAGTGGAAGAAAAATTCGCTGTGCCGACCCCACCTACTGGGATAAGCTGGAGACAAAGAAAAGGGTGGGGTACGTACCATTGTCCTGCTGATTTCTACCGCGAAGCAGTCATACATTTCAGTTTGAAGCATAGATAATACACTTTGTTTTTTTTTTAAATAAACTGAAGTTATAAAAATAAATTTAATTTTAGTACTAATATCGGTCTCTTTTGTGTAGGAGGTTTCATAAGCAGTGTGAGCGACTCCGTGGATGTTATCCTAATCGCAGATGCTGCTCACCATCTAGATTTGATGCCCAGCTCGCCCGACGATCAAAGCCCAGTGAAAGACGCTCGCGAGAAGCACAAACAACATATTAGCAAATGGATTGACAGCTTCAGAGCACGCAATAAACATGTTGTGACTTAATAGCAATTAAAGAATAATATGTTATTAAATATCGAAAGATCCTTGTTTTTGATTTTCTTTGAATTTAGCCAGTTAACGAGTATAAAACAAATTTCAACAGCGTAGAGAATTGCGAAAAAACTGCAGATTGTTTTTTGCTGCTTTTATTAAAATTGAAATAATCTCAATCTATTGCCGATATTTCAATGAGAAATAATTAAATATCATATTTTTTACCTTCGAAGGTATTGTGATTGAATGGTCGCCTTTACTAATTTAAGTTTAACAATCATTTTTTTTTTTTAATCACGCCACGTTAACTGGTCCCGTGATAAGTTCGTAAAGAACTTGTGTTACAGGTACCAGATAACGGAAATAAATTTAAGATTTTTATTATACACATACATATATTTAATAGACATCCATAACCCTGGAAATGACATTTATATTTATCATACAAATATCTTCCCTTGGCGGGATTGGAACCCGCGACCCCCTTGTGTAGTGATCATGTCACTTACCACTACACCAGACGGCCGTTAGATTGCCAAGGTTGCAGCCAAATCCCAACTTCTTAAAACAAAACTTGACTTTACTTTCCAAATAATTCCGATATCGAAGAAACGGTTTGGTAGGCAGTGGCTAGGCTCTGTCCCTGGCATTGCTGAAGTCCAGGGGCGACGGTAACCACTCACCATCAGGTGGGCCGTATGCTCGTATGCCTTACAAGGGCAGTAAAAAAAAAAAAGGCTGCACTACACGAAAACCCTCTTGTCGTGGCCGCCGGAAATTACATACCTAATTCATGATCAATTTCATTTGCACAATCAAATTCATTTCACTTTTCATACAACAGACGTGGGCCGGGGGCCGTTATTACAAAGATTTGCTGTATGACTACGTTTCTTTTGCCGATTCAACTAACGAAAACGAAATAATGACAACATTAATTTAAGGTTATGTATCAAAACAATAACAAAACTTAAAGTAAAGTTATTTATTGTGCTTTTCACTTATAATAATAAGCATAATATGACAACGAACTGCGTATATTGTAACGAAGAAGAAGATAAACAACTACAACCGGGTTTAGTATGCGAGAGCTGTTTCTGTTTCGTGCATTTAAAATGTTTGCGCAATGCTGGAACTCCTGGCGATTTCGTATGCGATGTATTCTTCGATTTTACATGCGAGGATTGTTCTTCCGATAAACTTGAAGTATTTGTCAGAAACAAATTTCCTTGGTATGTCGTTTGGGTGCAGAACGATACATAACAATGTTAATTTCACAAAGTCGATCGAAACATCTACAATACACACACATAGTCCCATGCATAAGTATAACCATCTGGCAATGATTAAATAAATTAGAAACACCTAAGCATTTACATGCTCACTATGAAACCTGTCAAATGTACAGGATTCCGTAGTTACTAGTGTTAAGACTTATCGTGTGCGATCGTGAGAAGCCATCCTCAACGCTGGATTTAACTCTACGCTGTCCTGTGCTGCTAAAACTCAGCTATATCTTTTGACGGACCAAAATCGATCTTAACACACTTCTACATTATGTATCCACAGCTAGAATTGAAATTGATTTATGTAGGTGATGGCAACATATTTATATGAAACAAGATAAAGTATACCAAACCGTAAACATAAAATATGTTAATCAAAAAATGTCCTTTAGCAAACTTGAGGTTAAAGTCTGAAGTGACAGAAATTAGCTTTGAGGAGCATGAAGGACTACCCCATAAATCATGGGAATTGTGGTCCGGTACTGTAAGGAATTACTGAGAATTTGTACCTCATGGTGCAGTAGAGATAACTAGGAATGAATTTTGTAATTGATTTTGTTCAGCTTGAATCAATTTTTTTCAGGGTAAATGTTATATACTTGACTCTAAATCATTTAAACTGTCACTCATATGGGATCAGTAACAGAGGTTATTTCCACTACAAAACTCATATTTGTTCATTCATAGATAGAAACTGGCAGGCACTGTTTGGATCAAATTCGTAAGTACTATCTATTTATTTTTGGTATTAAATTAGTTGGGTGCAGTGTTACTATTGCAAACCTCCTATTTAGAATAGATTAAAATAGAACATAATCTGTATGCCTATGAAGGGAATTAAACTTATAAGGTACTGCTTGCTTATATTCCTACAGGTATGGGTATAATATCTTGGTGATTTTTGCCAAAAATTCATCAGTGTCTTATTTTAACAATAACTTAAAAATTAAATCATACATCTCCTTGAAACTGCATTACAGGAAACAGAAAAAAAATTGGATTGGCACTATAGCAGGAGTCTTATCTATATATAATAAGCTAGTCTTCAAATCTGGTTCGGCAGATCTCGGAGAAATGGGCTGGTGGAAATTGCAGCATAACTTCTCGCCTGCTGTGGCAGCACATATAAGTAAGATAATGACAATTTCACAAAAACCATCAAATACTTCTATAATCCTTTTTTAGTTTCTCAAAAAATTTCTTAAACACTCAAGAAAATGAAAAATGAAAGCCAATAAATGAATGATGAATGAATGATTTATTTTATTTGAGACAACAACACGTCCGTATTATGTGTACATAGTATCATTAAAACATGTTTAAAATTAACAAAACCAATCAAATAAAACAAATCATTTATTAAAAATAAAGCTAAATGGTATCATTCATGTCCTAGTTCTCCTGTATATGGTATTGTTAGCTTGTTTGCATATCAACACTTCTTATATTTATATATATTTTTAAATATTGAATTGGGCATCAACAATATTATTAATTCCAGTTCAGGAAGTTGCTCGAGATAAGCCACTGGGAATGTCAAGGAATCAACTGACACTTGATAACACCTTTTTTATCAGCAGGATCACAAACATGGGTAAACATTATTTTTTCATTATTATGACTACGTCAAAAGTCACTAGTACCGAACATGGCCCAGACATGAACAAGGGTCTTGTAAAGTGCTCTATATAATTCTGCTATACAGAAGTAAACGAGCTTTGTCATGTCCTTGCTGATTTTACTGGCTTAATAAAAAGCATAAGTTGTATAGAAAATTGACTTGTAATCTTGACTTTAGCTTTAATGCTTAGATGGGTTGACGAGCTCACGGCTCACTTGCTGTTAAGCGGTTACCCGAGTCCATAGATATCAAAAACGTAAATGGCGCCATCCATCTTGAGACATGAGTTCTAACTCTTCGTTCTATTGTACAAGGGCTGCCACACCTTTCAAACCGTACTTACCCGTGCGGGCTCAAAACACGCCTTATCAACAACGGTCCAGTCCACGTTATTGAAACGAATGAGATGACGGTTGAGAATGAAGTACTTTATTTCTTGGTAATTGACTATGGTACACTACTAGTACATATTGTGACCACTAGATGCCGCTAGTATAAATTAAACTTATTATTTTGATATTAATAAATAAACATATTTTAACAGCACCACTTATCAAAATAATCTAATATCAATTAACAACAAAATCANCTTTATAAAATATACAAAAGCCATCCTGCTAGCATCGTCAACAAACAATAGAAAATATCTTGCCTGTCCAATCGATCGAACCTCCATAGGCCCACACAGATCTGAGTGAACTAAATCTAGCAATTCTGTACTTCTATGGTTTCGTAATTGGAACGGTAAACGACTCTGTTTCCCTTCACAACATACTTGACAGTTGGATTTTTTTATATCAGCCTTCATATCAAACGATATTCCGTCTACAGCACCATTTTTCATCTTCTGCAAATCATTACTATTAATGTGTCCCAATCTTCTGTGCCACTGTTTTGCATCTGTAGTCTGAACTGCTGCCGTCAACACTTTCTCTGATCTTACTGTATTCAACTTATACACACCATTTTGTAGATTTGCTATTCCAATAAGCTCATTTCGTTGATTATGTATATAACATACATCACTTTTGAAAGAAACTTTGTTTCCTCTTGCTATCAACTGGCTTACTGACAATAAGTTTGTTGTTAGATTAGGTATGTATAAAATGTTGTTTACCTTATTATCAAACTGAGAATTATTCACAACAGTAGTAATCTGTGAATTTCCGGCACACACTACTGGCACAGTCATATTATTTGCAACAATAATTTCCTTCATATCGTGTACATTTCTCACTTGCAATAAGTTTTCTTTGCTTGATGTCATATGAGCACTAGCCCCTGAGTCGATATACCAGTCTTCCCTATTAAATTCACTATGAAAAAAAGCAGCACTAAATGCGTTTACTTGCTTTTCTTTCAATTCAGGACACTGATTCTTAAAATGGCCAATTTTCTTGCACTTGTAGCATTTTATAATCTTTTTTACATTTTGCGTGTGATTTGAAGTTGGTTTTTCAAATTTTTTATTAAAATATTGATCTACCCTTCGTTTTTGTTTCGACCATAATGCAATTTCCGAGTCATGGTCACCTACCTCAGAACTCATATCAAGCAATTTGGTTTTTATGACATCAGAATTTATGGCAATGACTGGGCCCATAACCTATTGAAACGAATGAGATGACGGTTGAGAATGAAGTACTTTATTTCTTGGTAATTGACTATGGTACACTACTAGTACATATTGTGACCACTAGATGCCGCTAGTATAAATTAAACTTATTATTTTGATATTAATAAATAAACATATTTTAACACACGTAACCTGTATGCTACAGTAGTTGTTTTACTCAGCGATTCAGTACAGGTACTAAGAACATGAACCTCTATAGAATCGTTTATCACAATTTTCTAATTATTTCAATTTAACCATGAATATAAAAAAAAGGGTGCGTGTACTTATGTACGCGCGTAAGAAGTTATACTTTAATTTTATTAAATTTATTTCTTTCTTTTATTAAATAATTAATAATAAATATTTAACGTTAATAATTTAATAATATTTAGTATGAATTATATTAAATAATAATTTTGTCATTTATATTACTTAAAAAATGAATGCTAATAACACTTTTTTTACGAGTGTACATGCGCGAAAGTTCACCTGCGGCTATATTCAGACTCGCCAAGTTACGTCGGTCGTATTGTAATGAGCGATTTAGTGCGCAACTTCATTCTGTTAATTTTGTGTCACGGTACGCGCGCATCGTAAAATTTCACTCTCATAAATTTTTCATAACGCGCCTAAAGAAGTATAACTTCAAAAAGGTTTATTCCAGCTCCTTTTTGTTTTTAAAAACTATTTATTTTAATAGAAGCACACAGCCAAAGCAAATTCTTTGTTTTTTGTGTTGTAAGGTTATGAAATTCAAATTTTTAGGCTACAAAGATTACATAATTGAAGAGAAAGATTCAGAGATGAGCGCACCAGCGCCTAATAAGAAAAGACGCCTGGAGCCACCAGAACCAAGTGTCTCCGACTTCCAGGAGCGAGATTCTAATAGCAGGTATAGTCACTTCTCCGAGACTCCTAGTTATTGTAGAATCTACTGTACAATCAAGGCAACACTGATCTCAAGTGCTCAGGGGCATCGTTAGAAGTGCCCCCCAATACCCTAAATAAATTGAGTAAAAGTCCAGAACATCTATACTAATATATTATTATAAATCTACAGTGGTTTTTACGGATGTTCCGTTATAATTACTGAACCATGCGTCCAATTGACTTGAAACTTGGTATCCATGTAGAAAATACATGTACTTAATAGATAGGCTAATATTTATATGAGTGTTGGACTTCCTACACCGGTTGCGGGGGCGTTAATGATGAGAATCTTTGTGGGGGTGAGAAATGATAATGTTAATTTTAAATGCCCAGCGAAGCGGACGGGTACAGCAGTGCTTAAATGTTTCAGGTTGGATAATTTAGAAGAATGCGTCTACGAAGACAGCTACAACATGGACGCAACTGAGGGCTCCTACCCAGAACTAGAGTTCAAAGAGTTCGACTTCACGCCGACAAGCCAAATACCGAATATGCAGGTACCCACCCGACGCTTTGTACATTCCTGCCACCACGCAACAGCTCATTAGATAAGGAATCCTTTATAAACAATATCGAAGTCAGTCAAGCGCGACCACGAAACTACAATATTCGAATAGTCGAAATAAATATAGGTAATATTTAAAAAAAACAATATCACTAACCATAAACACGTCACAATAGTTTTAATGACTCGCAAAATTTGAACGAAAATAAGATACCAAAGTCAGTCCTAATTCGATCATTTCTAAAGGGATTTTTTGTAATGTTTAGTTTAAAAAAAATCAACTACCTTTAATATTACAAAGCTGAAGAGTTTGTTTGTTTGAACGCGCTAATCTCAGGAACTACTGGTCTGATTTGAAAAAAAAAAAAGTGCTAGATAGCTCATTTATCGAGGAAGGCTATAGGCTATATAACATCACGCTAAGGCCAATGCAAGCGGAGCACCAATAAAGAAAGTTTTAAAATCGGGGTTTTAATCCCTTTTGAGAACTTCCACTGCGTGCGCTGCGGAAACAGTTAAAGTTTCACGAAAATAATGTATGAGAGAATTGTTCCCCTTTAAAAGATCTTTATACAGTTTTTTTTTATAAAGATTATATTAAACCCTATCCAAATAAATACGTTATTCATTACAACATTGAAACACCCAAATCACTTCAAGATAGGCTTTGACAGTTATAGATTTTTCTGGATTTCTCTGAGATCCCATCATCAGATCTTGATGTAAACAGAACCATTCGGGAAGTCTATTCTTTCGAACAAAAAAAAAGAATTATCAGAATCAGTTTAAGCATTCTCGAGAAATCGGTGAACATACATAGTTAAAAAACTATGGTCGAATTGATAACTTCCTCTTTTGAAATCGGTTAAAAAGCGTGATTTTAGTACCTTTAATAACAACTTAACATTCTATTATTCAAAAATATTTTCACCTTCTACGTTAATGAAGAGGTGGGTAAAATTTAGCGTTATGGCAAAGTAACTATTCCACGCGGACGATGTCGCGGGCAAAAGCTAGTAGTATACATATATAGTGGTTTGTACTGTACCAAACTGCACATATCTGCTGCGATATAAACCTTCAAGATTAAATGGATAGGAGACTGATAGGGGAGAAGACAAAGTGGGGGGCGGCCACCACGTTGTGATGTCCTCGGACTCTGCCCCCGGTGGACCGTGAACTCGTTTAACCATAACTATCTACATATTAAAATGAATGCGTATCTTCAATATGTTCTTGATTCATCTGATGATCATGAAACTTGGTTGTTGACATTCCGGGAAGGTTCGCATCGTGGTACCATCAGCGCACGACAGGTTGCGCGCAATTAGATCAACAAACCGTTTAATTCATACATTTAGCGACAGTTATGGCTGGACCTAGCCCCATTTGAGCCACACTGATGTCTATACTTAATATTATAAAGAGAAAATATTTGTTTGTTTGTGTTGAATAGGCTCCGAAACTACTGAACCGATTTGAAAAATTCTTTCGCTGTTTGGAAACTACACTATTCCCGAGTGACATAGGCTGTAAATCATTTTTGAAAAAATTAGGGTTCCTTACTTAATCTCCAATAATGTAACCCAAGGTGTAAAAAAAATACCTAAAATATTCTTTACATCGCGTGCCCTTCGAAAACTATTGATGATAGAATAAAAACGAATTTGTAGAACACATTATTATTCAAAAGTGTTGCGATAGCATATGTCTAACTATTATAGCTATGCCGCAATAAGTGTTCTTTTATTTTAAAAAATAAAACAATGTCAAATATCGTTGAAATTTTTGTTAAAGACCCGAGCGGAGAAGGAACGGGCCGCTCGTTGTTAATAAAAAATTGAAAAATTATCATAATTATTTTTCATCTTCTAGAGTGACACCTCAAGCGTAACCTCCTTCCAGCATACGCTCTTCTTCTACGACTCTGACTCCCGAAGCGGCTCAGAACAAGAAAAGAAACTGGAAACAAAACCAAAAAAGACAGAAGAGAAACCAGTAAGAAGAGAATCTCTTTTCTCTACCGAACTCAATTCAGAGGACCTGCCGTGGACGACTCCTCGCGCGGAGACGAACGTGTTGGAAATGACTCAATACGAAGAAGTACAGCTCTTGAAGCAGATCGAAGGGCTGGTAACTAAAGTAAAGGACTCTGCAAGACGAGCCTCTCTTCACAGGCTGAAGGCAAAACTGACTCTGCGCAGGCTGAAGAGACACAAGCATTTACCTATATTCAATTTTGACAAGTCAGTATGTCTTTTTGGTTACACATATGGCATGATTGTAATTTTAATTTAACTAGTGGTCCCACGGTAGTCGAAATTCGACTGTAATTAATTGAAATTATAAGTTTGTACACTACTATGACTCTATTGTCAAAGAATTATTATACTTCTTTAATCACAGATTTCGCCAAGACTACACTTTAGGTAAATATGAATAAAGACAAACAATATTTAATCTATTCTCAATTTGACAACAGACGTCAAGAACAAAAGTTTGACAATAAATAGTATGCATGCGTGTGTGCGTCAAATACATGGTAGTGTGTGTAATGTTTTTCTTTATTGATTTAATGTATTTTTTAGGCATAATTTAAAAAAATATTATCATTCTGCACTCCTTCTCTATATTCTATATAAGTGTGGGAAATTTCATGATCCTCCGTCCGCGCAATTTTCGAAAAAAGGGATACAAAGTTTTTCCTTCACGTATTAATATATAGATTACCAATACTACGGTATAATAATAGGCATGACTAAAGGCAGGTCGGGTTGATTCCGCTTGTCTGTCTCCGCGAAGTGACCACCGGCTTCGTTTTGAGGATCTAGATAAGAATAAATACAATAAATAAATATTAATGGGAAAACAATTCCCATGCGGTTATCTGAGCCCGAACTGATTGATATCCCTGATGGGGGGTAAGAAACGACTGGGCATGGTTTCTTTTGAATTTCTTTTTCGGATTTACATCACGTAACTATTTCTTGTTACACAATAATATATAATAACATATTGCTGTCCTTGTCATGCTAAACTAAGAGATAAAGAGTCAAAATTATTTTTCGTATTTTTTTTGTACATAATTACATTCAGGACGGTAAAGTTGCTGAGCGGTCACGCCGCTGAGGATCCTCGGCAGGTCAACAACGTCGAGAGAGTGCTGGACAGGTTCCAGAGATCGGTGAGACACGAAAACAATCAATATACAGGGTGTCCCAGAAAGAATGGATAATCCTGAAACGCCTCATAGCAGAGCTATTGGGGAATAAAAAAAAAAAAATCTTAGGACTATCTAACTGTTGAGTACTAACCCAAATTAAAAAAAAAAATACAAAATTTCATGATTAAAATTTAAGTTCAGATTAACTTTTATAAAAAATTACACTAGCTACTCAGTCATACGATTTCCTGCATATTCCTTAGTATAGTCCATGTAGAATATTATAACACCAAAAAGCCTATGGATTTCATTTATGGTAGCTGTTGGTTATTCCAGAAACGCACAGCAGTATGGAAAATATCAACTTTTTTTAAATACGTAATTTGGGTACTACTTGAGTTTTTTTTTTTATGTTCCCAATAGCTCTACTATGAGGTGTTTCAGGATTATTCATTCTTTCTTTTTTTTTATTACTTAGATGGGTGAACGAGCTCACAGCCCACCTGGTGTTAAGTGGTTACTGGAGCCCATAGACATCTAAAACGTAAATGCGCCACCCACCTTGAGATATAAGTTCTAAGGTCTCAAGTTTAGTTACAACGGCTGCCCCACTCTTCAAACCGAAACGCATAACTGCTTCACGGCGGAAATAAGCGGGGTGGTGGTACCTACCCGTGCGGACTCACAAGAGGTCCTACCACCAGTAAGAATACCTTTTTGGGGCACCCTATATATATATTTTTAGGAAATTCTCTGTTGAATGTAGTCATAGCTAAAGTTGAAATCGGCGGACGATTGCTTCTAAACGATCTATTAAAAGTTTACTTTTTGTTTAGTTCCTTATGGATAACCTCTGCGGTACTATAGCAAGTACAACCCACGGAACCCTCCTGCTGTCGCGCATGGAAGCCCTGCCCTTCAGGTCTCCGTACTCCGGAGTCACCCTCAAGCCTTACATAAGACGGGACACCGAAACCTGCACCACCTGGATGAAGCTAATGGACGAGCTGCTGAGGAAAACTCACAGGTGATTAAAGTTTGTCTCAGACGCAGACCTCATTGTTGTTTCGTTAACCCTCACAACACACAGCCCACTGAGTTTCTCGCCGGATCTTCTCAGTGGGTCGCGTTTCCGATCCGGTGGTAGATTCTGCGAAGCACGGCTCTTGCTAGGGTCAGTGTTAGCAACGTCGCCATGTTTGAGTCCCGTGAGGTCACCTACTTGTTAGGTTACGATGTAATAGCCTCTCAAGGTTCTCAGCTTAGGTAGGAGAAAAAAAGTTGTTTCGAAATCAAATTAATTGGGATTTAAATTTTGATTTTTATATCTAATAGGGCAGTCGCCATATTGTAAATACTTAATAATATCTTATTGTCTTATAATTGAAATCTTTCAACAGTAGTTTTAAATGAAATAGACGTCAACGTCCTACGACGAGGTGACCGATAATGTCCACTTACAATCTCATGGGCCGTGTTTCCGATCACTATTGTTAGTCTTTGAGTTTAGAGAGCATGAGAAATAATTTTATATAAAGAAAATGTTCAGTCAAAAGTCAAATCTTGTATTGACTTGGTGAGTCACTTCCACGTTTGTGATGTAGGGATATGACAAAGGCAGGATCTTCCACGGCCCGAATCTCATTGTTCGAAACTTGTACACATATATTGCAAACGTCTCTTGAAAACGACATTTTGTATTTTATGTTGGCTACCGCCACATGTGACGCAAGCAGCTAATGGTAAAGCTAAGTTACTCAACCCTACCGAAGTTGTAACGTTATTAAAGTTAATTTATTTCCAGGCACATAAAGGACTACGAGCCACCCGCACACATGTCCATTGACTACTCCTACGTCCGTCCGCAGCACATCGCTGCAGTCAATAATTTATGTGCCCAGTTCTTCTGGCCTGGCATAGACCGTAAGTGTAATAAAATGCCAAACATTTCGACTGCATCTCTGTTTTTTTTTTTTTATTGCCCTTGTAGGCAAACGGCCCACCTGATGGTGAGTGTTTACCGTCGCCCATGGACTTCAGCAATGGCAGGGGCGGAGCCAAGCCACTGCCTAACACATGCTGTTACACTGCCATGTCACAACTACATATTTGCATTCTCACAGCTTGGTAACCTATTCGCAGTGAGAATATTATTTATATCAGGCTAACAATTGTGAACACTCGTATACATAAACATACAAAGTTCAAAAACTAAAGACATCGCGGTACCGTGTCTGATCACGCTTTTTATAGACATCTGCAACGTAAATGCCGCAACCTACCTTGAGATATAAGTTCTAAGGTCTCAATATAGTTAGAACCCCCGCCCTTCCAACCGAAACGCATTACGGCAGCTATAAGCAGGGTAGTGGTAACTACCCGCGCGGACTCACAAGAGTTCCTACCACAAGTAATAAGGGAAATTATAATTTTGCTTAGATATGTTTGTGATGTCCGCCAGTGACCGAGGCCCTGCAGTACCCAGAGTTCAGCTGTGTAGTGACGTACGGACGCCTGGTCGTGGGCTGTGCCTTCCTGGTGCCGGACGCGGGACATTCCACCGCGTACATCTCCTTCGTGCTCACCAGGCCGGAGTGGGGCAGGGCCGGCATTGCTACATTCATGCTGTACCATCTACTTCAGGTATACTCGCCCATGAGGAAACAGTAAGGCGGACATTTATTGCGACATTTCAGGAAGATGGATCTGGTTACCACATAACCCAGTCTGTGTAGTGGATAAACTTTCTTTAAAAAAAATATTGGTATCTTTTGTGAAGAACATACGAATTAAGGTCCACCATATCGCCAGATCTTAACACGTTGACTGCCATGTAGGTCACCGGTGCCCTGCGTGGCGCACTCAAGTAATTATGTCGATTTCTCTCTTTTCGATCTTCTTACTAAGGCACTGAAACATCTCGTAGTCGCTGGGAAAGAATTCGAAGATACTGAGAATGAATATATTTCTAAAATACTAAAACATATTATTATTATATTAAAAACAAAAGAAGGCAAGATTAAGCAATCCTAGCGCTTAGTAATAGAGATCGACATAATTACCTCAGTGCGCCGCGTAGGGCACCAGTGACCTACATGGCGGTCAACGTGTTAATATAATATTAATTCAATCAGTAAAACAGATCATGATATGGGTTGCATGGCAACGGACACAGAACTGTTTATTTTTTTTAAATAAAGAAGGTTCACCCTGCATTGAATACTGGTGACTTCAGGTCAAAGTATCAACTGCATTGTATGTTTACCTTAAATTATTTGTTAGTGTAAGGTTCAGGCTTAAATTTTGTAGACAATCGCTTTTTTTACTTACAGACTTGCACGGGCCAAGATATCACACTGCATGTGTCACCAACAAATCCAGCTATATTTTTATATCAAAAATTTGGCTTCAAAGTTAGTATCATGAAAACCTTATTTCTCTGGTATTATGGTAACAATGTATTATCAGCATATTATGATACATTATGAATATCACTCAATGTATTGTAATTATTATGTAAACTTATCTGGAGTTTTACAAAACTGCTTCACGGCAGAAACATGCTGATGCATAGATTACTCTACTATTTCAAAGCTACTAAAATTTTGACCTCATATCTCATATTACCAATGTATCTATGTATCTATTTTCATCGTATTTTACACTACCACATTGTTTGTTGATAATGAATCCAAATGTAACAAATTTTAAAATTGGGTTAAATAATTTAAGTTTAATCTTGTCCTAATATTTGATGTAACTCAATACATGACTAAACTCTACATGTAAATTTATTCACCCACTGTGAACATTTTGTGCACAAAGAACAGACAAACAGACAATGTGAAATATGAATATTTCATTTCTCCAGTTGGGCTTATGAGCTCACACCAAACTCACCTATCCCAAAGTATTGTAATGTCACTGCTCTCACACTGTTCAAGTTATATTGAAAGTATGAATACTTTAAGACTAAAATAGGCATCTTAGGTGGTAGAAATAAACATAAAAATGTACATAAAAAAATATACACAGGCTAACAATACTTTGTTACATAATAGTTTTCGATTGATAAATAGTTGACAAGTGTGTGTATCTGCAATTCAGCATAGCATATGTGGTGTTAAATGATACCAATTTGTCATAGTCACAATGGTTTACTTATAAAACCTTCATATAACAAATAATCATAGATTTTCCTAGTCTTATTTACATCGATTTTAACAATTTTCCTTGCATCTAAAAGTCGTAGGAATCCAAGCTTACTGTTCTGAGCTATAAGATGCTCTTTTATTTCCAAGTAGTTTGTTGGTACAAGCCTCAAATTAGAACATAGTACTTGTTCAGCCTCACTCAGCCTGTGAAAACCTGGCAAGTCAATTATTTCTAAAGGCATTGCCATACGCTTGTAACGCAGCACTTGGTGGTTTTTTGTGTACATAGTCTTCACTGGTGATTGATTTTCAAATTTCTTGGCCATAACACATGTAGCATACTTTTGTTCTTTCATGATTATGTCATTTTCTTTTTTAAGTTGTTTGTAAAGTTTGGCAGTATAAAGAGTTTTTATACCATTCTTACGGTATTCACATAAATGTCCAATTCTCTGTAACAGCTCATTCTCTAAACTCATGGATTCCATGAAAGCGTCAAACTGTATTCCTGTCATGAACTGCATGAAGCAAAGCAATCGTTCTGCTTTCTGTCGTGTTATAGTGAGGTCAAACTTTTGGATCCATGAGAAAAGCTTATTTGGCATTACTAAGCCATGATTCTGTATAATTTTATACCTTCTATGTCTTTCTCTTAATCTTGTATTAAGAGCATTCACTAAAGACACCTTTAAAGAATCCATCATGTCCATTTCATCCTCATCCTCATCATCATCTTCAGAGTAACTGTCTTCAATATTAAATATGCTTTCAGCATTGTGATCATAACTGAATTCAAATTCAGATCTATATGTATTGTAGCCAGCTAAATGTTGATCTGAACTGTTATTTCTAGGCGGATTAGTGCTTACATCTGTATTGTACAAGTATGGAGTAATAGGCTTCGGAAAAAGTGACTGTTGTGTTTCCTTTAGTAATCTCAATTCTTTATACTGCACATTCTCTATGTAATATTTTCTATAATGCTCTTGACATTCCAATTTAGAACGTGTGTGCACATTCTTTGATATTTCTTCCCAATTTCCGAATCCGTATGTAGAAAGTGCTGATAACAATTTGCACTCTTCTTTAGCAGACCAATTACAATTACCGAATAATGGAAAATCATTTCTTCTTATCGCGTATTTGTGGTCATTTTTATGCATTTCTGTTTCCTTGCCGGATGAAAAACAGGGAGTGCAAACATTGCTTTCGCACTCGCAACATTCGATAAAAGGCTCGTGTGCGACTTCTGAACACAAATCGCAGTTCGTTTGTAGTATATCTCTGGACATTATTTCAGGTTGAAGAACTTATACAAGACTTTTATGAGAAGTACTACGACATCGAATACAAGGGATGCCGGCACGCGCTATTTCTTCGACTTGTCAGATAAATAAAGTAGTACTTTAAAAACCTTTATTTTATTTACAAACAAAACCTTATAGTCTAACTATCACTTACCTACTGAACAAACTTCAAAAATTCAACAACAAAAGAACTAAACACCTACATTTCGATAGAACTTCACGCACAGATCAGTTGTTTATTGGTTTACAATAGAAGTTAGTGATTTTTTTCTATTTAGTAAAACCGGTTAAAATAGGTAATGTTAGGGATTACTATTTCAGCAAACGTTTAGAAAATACAATATTTAAATAATTTAAATGTAGTATGTAGGTAGGTACCTACATAAGAGTAGTAGTTTTATTTTTTCAACTGAAAAGTCAATGGTATCATACCATACAGCCTAATCTTTTATAATTTATTTTATATTAAAAATGATAATATGAAGTGTAATTAAATGAAGTTGATTAATGAAACATGGCATGAAATGAAATGAGGTTGGATAATATGGGATAAAATATAATCTCAGTAAAATGGTGGTCATTTACTAAGACTTTTTCAATGGACTTTTTGGAAGATCCCGAGAAGTTAAGTCCAGTGCCTTTGTTTCATTTTCCCACATTTGTGCACTTTCACAGATACTAAACAGTTAATAAACCACGTTAATACACATTTAAATCTAACAAACAAATCACACAACTTCACTCCTCGCGGTTCCGCCAAAAAGATCTTACCTTTTTTGTTCTTGCCCTGTCATACATACATAACTTTATTCAAAATAACTACATATCTAGGTGAGTAGGGATGGTGATCAGGGATTGATTTCTGTTTAAATCGATCTTTTTATCATTATAATAGCCAATCCATCTAGGACATTAGCAAATCAAAATGCATTTGCAAACAGGTTATCATCATATCATGTGTGAAAATCCATTATTATTGGAAAATGAAATAAAGTTGCTGAACGTGACGTCTCGGGTTCTTCAAAAAAATCTGTTGAAACAACGCAAATTGATGACAATAACAGTTAATAAACAAATTCATTTCAATCCGATCCATTCCATTTGACATCAAAGCATCGATATTAAAAAAGTATTTTAAAGTCGGTGCTGGTGACATTACACGGAAAATAAAAAAAAGCGAATATCGAAAAAATATATTTATGGGCAGTCGATTTTCTCTTTTTCGAGAAGAAGGATCATTCCTACTTTTTTCACATATCTGTACTTATGAATTTGTCAACTTTTACTATGTATCACTGTTAAATATCTGTTACGACTTCATACTTAACTCATAAGTGTGTACTTATAGGTAAGGAGAACTATCTTAAAATGAGGGACAAGTTGAAGAAGCATCCGGCAGTAAGCAGCAAATTGCAATTCAGAAAACTTATTAAAACAGGGCTTATGTAGCAAATGGATGATGTAGAAATTGTAAGGGAGTGAAGTATGCTTAGTTGAAAAACTAAGCCAGCCCAGAAGGCTATCTTTAAAATTACACCACTGCCTACGATGGCGCTACCCTAATTGGTCGCCTTTCGACGATCACTTTTTCATACACAGAAAACCATTTCTCGAAAAGTATGGACCGTAGAGGCAAACAGCGGGTGATGTTTACAGCTGGTTCTGCTTACTTCTAACCTCCATACTTTACCAGCAACGAATAAACACAGTGTTTTAGTTTACATAAGAAAACTGGGTAACTAAATCCAAAATGTATCATTTGATTAACCCGCTATGATAGATGATGTTCTTCCTTGATAAGGTTCCTTAATTTTTGAATTTGTTAACAGTAAATCTAATAAAAAAAAACAATCTAAAAGATATAATAGTATAAACACTAGTATCGCTTTAAAATAAATAATCCCCTTTTCAGAATAATCATTAAATAGACAATATTTTGAAAACATGAACAATTAAATATTGCATTTTTTATTTATTAAATCGTAACAGAGAACATGGTAAAATAAAAAAGAAACAACGAGAACATACTGACATTTATAATCGGGTCGAGATTCGAGAAAATGACGTGCCCATTAGTCGATGAACATAGAAATTTATATTTGTCTCTTTTTAACATTAGCTAGTTCATATTGCTTTCTTTTTACTGCATCTCGCTCACGTCACGGGTGAAGGTCCTAGAATGTTCTAGATGTTTTGATGTATATATTTTGGTTCGACGAGAGCGCCGCGTTTCATTCAATTGTGATATTGCTGAAGTGAAGTGTTGAGTTTTGCGTTGTGATTATTTGCTAAAATTTCGTAAATTGTGCTTAAATTATCAAGGATTAAAGTTTCTCTAATACAAGTAAGTGTTCTGAAAATGCTATGTTGATTTTTTTCATTTAAAAACTGTGGTTTTGTTATAAAATGTGGTCTATCAAATTTATGAAACGAAAATGATCGACGAAATCGTGCTTCCAAAAAAGGTGTCAAACGTCGAGACTGATCTTTTTTTTTTTGTTTCAGTACAAATCAAAATGGGCAAAGACTACTATAAAATATTGGGAATAACAAAAGGTGCTTCGGACGATGACATCAAGAAAGCCTACAGAAAATTGGCATTAAAGTACCACCCGGACAAGAACAAGGCTGCGGGCGCAGAGGAAAGGTTTAAAGAAGTGGCAGAAGCTTATGAGGTTTTATCGGACAAGAAGAAAAGAGAAATTTATGATGCGCACGGCGAAGAAGGCCTAAAGGGTGGTATGGGCGGGCAGAATGGTCCTGGTGGCGGTCAATCATTTTCCTACACGTTCCACGGCGACCCGAAAGCGACGTTCGCGCAGTTCTTTGGTTCGGCCAGCCCGTTCCAGGCATTCTTCGATCTGAATGGAGGTGGAACTACAATGTTCTTCGACCGCGACATGGATGTGGATATGGATCCTTTCAGTAACATGGGCATGGGGCAGGCGCGACCAGGTGGCCCCGGTGGTGCTTTCCGCAGTCACAGCTTTAATTTCCATGGTTCACCTAGTAGGAAGGAGAAGACGCAGGACCCACCCATCGAACACGATTTATACGTATCATTAGAAGATATCGCCCGTGGTTGTGTCAAGAAGATGAAGATATCGCGACGTGTAATACAGCAAGATGGTACCTCGAAGAAGGAAGACAAGGTGTTGACCATACACGTGAAGCCTGGCTGGAAAGCTGGAACTAAGATTACCTTCCAGAAAGAAGGTGATCGAGGTCGTAATAAAATCCCAGCAGACATAGTGTTTATCATCCGAGATAAGGCACATCCACTATTCAAGCGAGAAGGCAGTGACATAAGATACACAGCTAAAATCTCACTCAAACAGGTATGTTAAGTTTCTTGTGCATTTCTGAACTCAAAAAGGTTTTGTAAATTTCTGTTTTTAATGGGAATAACACACACTAGCAAAATTAAAACAAAGTACCTACCTACCATAAGTTGACTTATAGTACTGTATAATAATTTTATTATAATTGACTAATATAATTTAATTAACTAGGCAATACATCTTATAAGTGGTGAGTCATTTATGGAAATTAATAACTTTTTATCTTGTTGCAGGCACTCTGTGGCACAACCATTGAAGTACCAACTATGTCTGGAGAAAAGTTAACAGTCAATTTACATGGTGAAATAGTAAAACCTCACACAGTCAAAAGGTTCCCAGGTTATGGACTACCGTTCCCCAAGGAACCCACAAGAAAGGGTGACCTGCTTGTAGCATTTGACATCAAGTTTCCTGAGCGCTTAACCACAGGAGTCAAAGAAATATTAATGGACACTTTACCTAATTAAAATATTTTGGATCTCCTTTGGATCAGATTTAAGTATATAATGTCAATTCTGATAGCAACAGCTCGAGGGATTGACAAATTGATCTGTCAAAACCGTGCTGATCAGGCCTTCAGTATGTGTTTGCTTGGTCAAAAGGAGGAAGAGTTTCTTGAGTTTTGGCGAACCAGAATCTTTATATACTCAAACCTAAACTGAGACTGGACATTTTAGGGCTTCTAGAACATTGTGTATCATGTTGCTGCCAATTGTTTTGTAATGAGTGAATGGATCAGTATAATTTGGTAAATTACATTGTTCTTCGTGCGTTCTAGTACGACGAACGGGTGTGTCTGTGAATGTGTTTATTTAATACAATAAGTTGTAAATATTTTCTACAAATGTGTAAATACATGGCAGGCAGTAATTGTAAGTTTTGGGTTTTTGAAGAACTTTAAAATGACAATTGTGTAGAGCGATGTGTCTTTAAAATGAGTCTTGGTTTTCAAATTGATTTTGTGTCTTAAACTAAAGACTGTTATTATTGCATAAGCCCCAGTCAAATGTTTCATTTGTATGAAATATTTTGACATAGTCACGATTCATGCTGGAACACCAACATTCTATTTTTCGGATTGAGAATTATTTATATTGATTGTACTGTTTATTGTAGTGACTTGAAAGAGAAAACTTATCACTTATAATTGCTGTTCAATGACTAATAAATGAAGTTCAAGCAAAAGCGACTCGTTTTATTTACTAGTTAGTATTACATAAGCTGTCAAATATAAATCAAAACCGATTGTCCTAGTGACTGCGAAGGCGTGCAGTAGGTACTAAGGTGTGTCCGAAAAGTATGGCGCGCTCATGCGACGAGTAAATGAAGCAGTATGTAATTTTGTGTAGGTTGAGTTAGGTCCATGTCGCTTTTACTAGGTACAGAACAAATAACTTCATGGAATCTAGTAATTAGATCATGAGTAATAAATAGTACCTATTAATGTAAATAACTAATGACCCACTTAAAATTTGCTGAATTGAATTACATTGTTCGCTTTATTTACTTAATCTATTTTGATTCGTTTCTTAAAACTAGGGTCATCATACTGCACCGATATTTTGAGCACATTAATTATGTAGTTACCTACAGCTAAATGCGTTACAAAGAACATAAAATAATGATTATATCTTTGTTCTGCTAACATCAATTTTGTGGGTCTATATTCTAAAATATTGTGTGTGTGTTAACAGCTGTACAAAGACAAAACAGTAGTCTGTTGATATGGCCACCGACATGAACCTTGACGTCGGCTTGGATGTGTGGACTGTTGAGCCATTAAAATCACTGGCTTAGATTATACACTTAATATATTCGAGATCACTGGCTTTCATCGTATTTATGTATTTCTCCGAGATAACGTTCAATTGGCCTTTTAAGCAGACATTGATATTTATTCGATTAGTCAACTATTGTGAAAAATTAAGACGAAAATGAAGTAACCAGAAGAACGATAGAGACAAACATGTAGGCCCTTACACCAAGAAATTTTCTGTAAGCATGCCCTGTTACATATATCTTATGAAGGCTAAAGCAACCAACTGAGTATTTACCGCCTTTCGATGCTTCAAATTTAAAAGATTTTAGTGAATAAACCGTTAAATATGAAATTACAAAAGTATTTTGGAATTTATTTTATTAACGCTATACCTATTTTGTAATGCCTTAATAAGGCAATGTTAAGAGGATATGATGGTGAGCGACTACCGATGCTCATGATACTTAGGAGTATTTTCTCAGACTGGGCAGATGAGACAGATGAGAACAATAATAACTTCACGAGAGATCGGCCGGTGCTTCGTAAACCACAAGTCTTTAACATACATACTATAAATACACAGAAGCATGTAATATGTATTTAAGTTTTTTTTTCATACTTAAGCTGTTATGCTATGCTATGCCAGCGTATTTAAGGTTTACCTCACCTTTTTTTAACCTTACCTTACATGTTCCTTACCTTATTAAAACATGTTTGTAGTGTTATTATATAATACACACAATCATGTGACAAAACCATATAAAAATTCATGATGAATTACTTGTCAATTTGAAATTTAGTCTAATTACAAAAACACAATATATAGCATGTTAATTGATAAATAACTAGAATTTACCTGAACTTCGATTTGAAAAAGTATTTAAACATTACTTTAATAGCAATAGTAGCAATGTGCAAGAAATAAAAAAATAGCTTTGAGCGACTATTGTACGATCTTCAGCATGTATCTCGTATGGTAGTGATCATTTTAACAGTGTAATGAATTAAACAAATTGAATAAACAATATTTTTATAAATGTTAAAATTAGCCATTTCTCAGATTGTTGAAGCCCGCTTCAGCGCGTAAGCACGCGGGCTTAGGAGCCATACGCGATTTGCGCGGAGGCCGGGGCTCGCGGCGCTATGACGTCACACTCAGAAATACCCATCGGCCGCCCCCGCAGCACACGCGCTGGAAAAATGCAACTACTTATTCAAATTAAATAATCACTAGGGACACTTTAAATTTTCCTCCTTCGGGCTCTGTTGGGCTCTGATGATTGGTGATTATCAGGCTTCTCCTTCACCTCAAACCTTAGAGTCCGGCTGTGGCCGCTTTTCTGAAGTGAACTTTACTTGACTATGCTTGAGACCTTAGAACTTATATCTTAAGGTGGGCGGCGCATTTACGTCGTAGATGTCTATGGGCTCCAGGAACCACTTAACACCAGGTGGGCTGTGAGCTCTTCCACCCATCTAAGCATTAAAAAAAAAAGAAGCTTCACCCCATTTAGGTTTATGTGCGCATTTTAAAATCACAATAATTACTTTAACAAAACGATTTGTGTTACTTTCAAAAAGTCTTTAAACTCATAGAAGTCGGGGTCAGTATTCTGTGATAGCTATTTTGAGTTCGTAAGCGCTACAGCGTCATACGCTAGTGTGCCAGCCAGCTAGTAGGTAGCTACTACTTGATTGTAGTACAGTTTGCATTATTCATTAAACTTTAAATACTCAGACAGGCGTATTCGCCTACAGAGTGTAGCGTTATTACATTAGAACTAGGACAACAGGATGAAATATTATTTAGTCATTCATCTTCGTTCTCTTTTTTGCCCTACCTATTCGTAGGGGGCTATTCCAGACATAGCCCACTGAGTTTCTTGCCGGATCTTCTCAGTGGGACCTCTTGGGAGTCCGCACGGGTAGGTAACACCAGCCCGCCTATTTCCGCCGTGAAGCAGTAATGCGTTTCGGTTCGAAGGGTGGGGTAGCCGATGTAACTATATTGAGATCTTAGAACTTATATCTCGAGGTGAGTGGCGCATTTACATTGTAGATGTCTATGGGCTCCAGTAACCACTTTACACCAGGTGGGCTGTGAGCTCGTCCATCCATCTCTAAGCAATAAAAAAAAAAAAAAACATTTTTATTATGATGCTATAATATACGGTAATTCTAGGTGAATAGAACAAAATTGATGAAAAAATGGTATCTGCTGAAGATCCAACAAGAATATATTTACTCGATCGCTGATCACATTCGATCGATTGAAACCTCTGTTTATATTTTGTACATTTCGGATTTATGACCGAAAAGAAAATAAGTAAGAAAGAGGTCACTTGATTATGATTAATATCGATTTATTTGCGAAAATGGAGGATGCGCAATAGCACTTCAAAAAAATATGTCCTTAATATGGGACTTGCTACTTTACTAAAACTATGTACATAAAATATATCTCATTTTCATTACTACCCATTAGATTTTTAACAGCCTATCTAGCCTGTTTATTGAAACAATTTCAAATACGCAATGATAAGCTAAATTGAGTATGTTCTTCATGTAGTAAGTTTTTATTTTTATGCTATATTCAAATAAAATAAAAACGTTAGGATGTATTTGTTAATGCAGCGCTGGGTAGTAGTGACGATATTATTGTGTTAATGTGCTCATTACAATAATGTGATGTACAAATATGTACAGTGAGTGCGATAAATACCAACACTGCATGAACAAAACCGATAAATGTAAAATTAAATAATTGATTGTAATTATTATTTTCTAATTAATGATATTATTGTTTCGCTTCGACTCTCGTCAATTCGACAAAGCATATAATAATAATAATTGTCTTCCATTTTTCTTTAATATTATATGAAACTTGACTGATTTGAAATTTGACTGAATGAAAATGGTTACCAGATCGGTTTAAATATTTAATGCCATTCTTTCTATTGAATACATTGTTCTTTTATTCGTTTTTCTGCATTGTATGTATTTATTAGTTTACCAATACAAAGTATTCGACATTACTACGGCATATTGTTTACAGATGCAAAGCCGGTTCTTTTGGTAAGCAGTATGCGGGAGAACGAATAGTCGAGAACGTCCTAGACTACACGTTGAAAGAAACTCGGTATGTTCGAGAATCGAAACTGGCGCCTGACGGTGCCATGCGATACCTACACGAAACTACTTGTGAAACTGCGGCCAGCTCGCGGCCCGCTGCTGATAAACCGGTATCTATTGGGATGTCAGGTGTAAAATAAAATAAGCCTATTCGTTTTAATGCGTCGCGTCGTTATCTGTATTTTTATTTACGTAATCATTCTACATACTTAGTTTTGTGTTTGAAGTGTATAATTCGGACTGAAAGTAATTAAGGAAAAGGGCAATTAATAACTATTATACTTAAATATGAATGTTACAAATTTAATGTTTTTTTTAAAAACCAAACTATAGTTTCTGTGCCGTAATATACTTTAATGTTACGTTATGAGTATTAAAGTACCTAATAAAGTTCTGAAAGACAAAAAAAAAATTATTAACTTTACAGGTGAAACATTTTTTAACAACAATTTTTTAATAGCAGCATAACTTAGAGCTATTCCGAAAGTATCGTCTTTCGTTCTATTTCTAAACTTTCACGAGTGTGTAAATACGACTGGCCCCAAGCCAAATAATATTGAAACCAAAATTCTTGTTGTTATTTTCTCGTTATTTGCATCAAAATGCTCAAATTATTGGTTAGACGGATGCGCTGGTAATGTATACGGATCGGAATCCACGTGCTTAAGCCGGTCACGTGTTTGGTAAACGTGACCAGCGAGGTGCGCGCATGAACCGCGTCACGCGATACTTTCGCGCCATATTGTCCGTACAAATGCTACGCTACCAAATTAAAAGCACACTTATAACAAATCCATTCTGTAAATTTCATACGGCCTCGTAAACATTACGCGTTGTAAGTAGATAGATAAATTCACGACTTAAGCTGATAATAACCGGTTACCAGAACGTATACCTACCACATATCTGTGTAAAGTACACTACAACATGTTTAGCGTTGTCTAACATGAAATATAAGAGTAATGGTTTATTTGTCTTGTATAGGTAATAGTTATCTCACCCTTAAAATCAGAATGCATATTCCTCTTCGCATATTCTAAAACTTCATGGCAAAATTAAGCAGGATTACGGGTTTGCACCACCAGTAGGAATGGTATTTTCATGAAGGTACCGTAGATCTAAGATGATAAGCCTAATTAAATAGTGAATACATCAATGCTGTAAGATGCGGCGACCTTCTATCCACTATCTCATATCAATTTTACGTGGATTAATATAGGTATATTTATTTATATCACAATTGAGATATGTAAACGGGAGTTTTTGTTTGTAAATTTATATACACTAC